ATACCCGCACTCATATGTAGATGCTCAAATAAATATACAAGTACTAGTAATGTGCCGAGTTGTGCGGCCTGAGAAATTTCGCACTGCCCCGACACGTTGTCTTCTCTCGCCCTCGCCTCCTTGATTGGTTAACTAGTTAACCAATTTACCTTCCCCACTTATTCCGCACGTATTTTGCATATTTTGACGTAAATATTTCGGTGGCTGATCAGCGCAAAGAGCAATTATAGTTGAATTTGTATGCGATGCTAATCAATTGCCTTAATATTTGAAATAAAGCGTTGGCATTTCGCATATACAAGTACTCGTACGGATACATACAGCTCGTACGGACATGGGAATTGTCCATTGGCTGCTGCAGTCGACTTGGCTTCATTTTATTTGCATTCTAAGTTAATGAGTGGCTAATTTGCACGGGAAATTAAGTTTGCATTTTGAAGGTTAGTATTTGAAATTAACACTCGCAAGCCAAGTGTCCACAAATGGTCCGAAACTATGGAGAACGATTAAGGTCAGTCAAGAAGCCAACAATTGTTGCGTAAATATCTCTGTCTCTTCAAATGGAGAAAATCAATTACTGATGCGATCATTCACACATTAGCTCCTTTGAGATGTTTTACTAATGTTTTTACTAAGTCAAAGAGAATGTACTTGTATTTGACTTACGTGTTTGTCTCAAAATTTAAGAACTCACAAGATCTCTTTGGTTCATCGCAAGATATTAACATTTTTGGAATCTTTTTGAATCTCTGAGGTGGAATTATCAACATGTGTAACAAATGCTTGCACAATTGACTTTTAGTTCCCCCTACACACATATTATACATTATGTACACACACACACACAGACAATCCACTCCTCATGGGGCCAACAATGCTAATCAACGGCAGAGCCATCAAAACCAATAACGAAGTCAATGCCCAAAACTCAACCCATATGAATGGTCCCTCTTCCCGCTCGTTGGCTTAACTGCCAGACTCTGACCGGATGAATGAGTGGAAGACGCCAACACCAACTCCAACTGCAACTTCAACTGCAACTCCAACTGGGCTTGGGGGCAATCAAGTGAGAAAATTAAAATTACATACCATACCCATGCCCATACCGATACCCGTACCCGTACCCTCAGACGCGGTTGCTTGGCAGTGGCCGCATTTAAAGGTTCATAACTTCCAAGTCAATTACGCGGCGCATACGCAAAGTTGGGCGCTGGTTGACTGCCCGACATCCCAACTTCCCAGCTCCCGACTGCCTGCCTGCCTGCCTGCCTGCCTGCCTGCCTGGCTGAATGGCTGGCTGACTGGCTGAATTAGAAAAATTGCACGCGCAAGTGCCACGTTCGAGACGTGGCCCTCTGAAGTGGCTGTCTGTCTGACTGACTGACATAACTCACGAGTTGCATGATGTGTGCCTCCGCAAGAACCGCTGCGCCTGCGCAGGTGAAGGTGATCGTGGAGCATGAAGATGAACATGAACATGAACGTGGCAAACGTTTAGCCAACGCCAACTAGGTGAGCCTGCCGCTGCCGCTGCTGTTGCTGCTGCTCCTGGAACGGCTGCTTTTGCCTGAGAGAACTACTGTGGGAACCGTACCGATCTTCATCGTGGAGCTTACCTGCAGTGGAGAATTAATTTGTGACGCGCGCTGCGCTCACTTGGAGTCTGCAGCCTTCAGGCAATTTACTCCGAACCAGTGGCGAACGCCCGCCCGTTGGTAGTCAGCTCGTGACTGCAACATCGTGTGGCAAGTGCAACTCAGCCACTGCGACTGTGTCTTGGCGGCTTTGGCGCTGGTGTCAAACGTTTTGTAATCTGTCACGTCGCATCGTTTTAATATTTTTGCGTGCATGCTCTCGGTACGAGGAAATGCAGTTGGTCCCTCGCTCACTTGCGTGTAAAAATAGGCGTAACCCTTTGGTATTTATGGTCGATTGGACGACTGCTTGGTCTTTTGGCTGGCTGGCTGGCTGGCTGGCTGCCTGCCTGCCTGCCTGCCTGGACGTCTGGCCAACTGACTGCCTGCTTTGTTTGGTTTTCAACAGCGCCGCCAGCGTTGGTAGCGCTGATCTCGACTCCTTTACTCGGCTCTGCTCAGCTCTGGTCTGCCTTTCTGCTGCTGCCTGTTTTATTATCTAAATCATTATTAGTTTGACCTTCAGCCTGAGGTGGTTGGGGCTCTGGGGGGCTCTGTCCGTACGCTGTATTCTCGTAAGTTGTTTTCTTATCTTATTAATTATTTGCTTTATTGAACGCGTGCTCAGTGCTCGCAATGTAAGTGGAAAGAAAGTATCTGTAATACTCGCAGAGACTACTGTGCGTATGAGTCATGCAAATTAAATGGCGGAATCAAAGCAGGAAAGATAGACCTAGTATATTGGCTAGATTTATTTGAAAGTTACTATGAAGAATTTTTAATGGGCAACATATACAAAATGTAATACGTGGACAAATAAATTGTTACCCATCCTCTTTGTTAAAAGTTCTGAACTGGGTTTTAAATTAACCCAATATGAATGTTGTCTTAAATCTTTAAGATCAGTGATATTAATATATCACTGATGATATTGATATATCGTTGTTCTGCTTGTTGAAGGGTTTATCTATTAAACAAGTAAAAAAAGAACAAATTTTAAACAATTGCTTATATCCAGCGTTTAATATTTAAAACAGTTTAACCAAACAAAATTTCAGAAGAACATCTGGCTACCGTAGAAACTTAGAAAGAGTTCTAAATGTATTGAATGAAATAAGTGAATAGCTTGAATTTGCCAACAATTTTGCATTGCCATTCAAAAATAGAAAAATTAACTTAACTTACTTCTCACTTGATTTATATTTCTAATGTAAACCTCCCCAGCAGTTAATCAACATCGGTTTCCAGGTACTTCTCTGAGCAAACTTTCATGCCACTCAGGTTGTTGCAGCTAAGCCACAGTGATGTGATACTTTCAAGCTGGTCTATGGAATATTTTTGAAGACGATCCATTCATTTTCTAATTACATCTACTCATAAATAAATAAGTCTACCTATCTTTAAAGCTTTATTTATTTATTTTTATAATGCTAGCTTGAAATATCTTAATACCTTAAACAAACAGACGGACCTTCAGCTTACTTTGTATCTACATTTTAATGGTTACAAAATAAAGAATACGAATATGTGACTTTTAAATAAATGAGTTTAATTTTGTTTATCGACGGGCTTGTAATTATAATGTTGGGTTTAATGTTTGGGAGAATAGATACTCTATGTGGCAGAAGATTGGGGCATGAAGTGAGGATGTCTTCAATGCATATTTTATTGCAGAAAGGGCAGTGTTTAGTTACACAGATTTACAGATGTCTAAGGCACTTATCTTGAGTAGTACATACAACATTAGATTGCTATTACGAGTATCAAGATATGCTTTTCAAAAGTAGTAAATTACCTTGAGAACAGCTTTTCTAAAATCGATGTCTGCTTGCAGCGAATCAATATACATACTTGTATTTATAAAAAGCTTAAGGCCATTCTTCTCTCTCTTTCTTTTATTCAATTTATTACTTTGGGCGTGCAATATAATTTCCACTGTGTCTATTGGTATTTGATTAGCAAATTGTCATGCCTATGTTAAAATGTAACTATGTAGATACAAGTTCTCCATTAACTTTTTAAATATACATATTAGCATTTGGACCGAAATTGTACGCCTTTGAGGCCGCAGAAGCCGTTGGAGTCATAATGGAAATTCCCACGCATGGGCCATACGCTCTACTGCGCACTTCACACCCGTACTCGTAGAATGGCCCTTATTCGCCATTTTGGAGCATCCGCAACTAAAAATAGATACACGCGCGTTTGTCTCTTTCCCACTCCATGGCAGCAGCCAATCACGAAGTACCTCTATCTGTAGACGAGCACATACAAGTGTATGCAGTAGTTGGTGCCGGAGGGGGAAGCACAGGGAGCAGACGGATCCATTATCTGTTGATGTGTAGTGCGAGTGTGTGTGTTACGCATGCCTTCCACCGTTGTTAAACAATTAGCCTCCAGCAGCCGACAACGTTGTTGGCTGATTTGTGGCGCCTGATTAACGGTTGTCAGGCCTTGCTTAAAGCTTAACTACTGTAAACATATGCAGGTACATACATGCATATGTATGTATGTACCAGTGATGAGTAGGGTTAACAGATTACGCGCTGCAATGTGCGGAGCAAATTCTCTGAAGACAGTTGTGGGAAAATGTCGGGTACTTGACTTTAAAATAAGTATGAGCCCGACCTCAACAGATCGGTAATAAGGTTAGTAGGTCAGAACTCTTAAGAAAAAGGGAATTAAAATTGCACTCATTTTGATAGTTAGCTTCTGGATTGCAATGCGAATTTGGCTGAACAGGGGTCTCTGCTCATGCACTTGTCCGATCTAGTCTCAAATATAATAAAATAAAAGATATTAGAGAATACGTAAATTACTTACCTATGGTGTGAATCGAAGCATAATTGTATATTATTTATTTATTTACATATATATTTATAAAAGAGAAGGTTAACAATTAATTCTTAACCTACCTAAAGTTAGCAGCACTAGCTGCCAGGGCTTTTAGCTCGCTTTTGTATGATTTTCCATAAATTAATTATAGTATATAGACTATCACTCCCGGCGGAGTCTAAATAGGCATGCATGCGAATATAATCAAAAATTGTATTTTCTTTTGATGATAAAACTGAAAGATCACTTTATAAACCCAGTCTCAATTAATCAATCTTTGCAAAAATATAAAATTTGCATACATTTTGAATTTTACTTCCGGTATGATGACCTCATTGAAGGCGGTATAAACTCATTACCAACCTACACATTAACGCTTTATCTTCATTTTCCCATCTCTTCAGAATTGTGTTGTTCTACTGTAGTGCTGCATGTCTGTAAATTTGTGTAGTGTGTCCTAGTCCTTACGTTTTTCCTTAATATTCTCTTGCACAACCTTTTTTGACTCTCTCTTTTAAGCAATCGCCCACCATGCGTCTTTTACAACTCATCCTTCTTCTGCTGTTAATAGCTAAGTTGGACAGCTATATCATACACCGTTTGACAGATATCGTGAACGAGCTCAATACCCGCCTGTTAACCAGAACGAACATTGTGTACTGCAAGCGATGTAAGCTGCTAAGAAACGATTCCCACTATCTGCAGCAAGTGGAGCCCATCGGCCAACTGGTGTTCAATGCTCCTTTTAATGCCTCAAGTCTGGGCGGTGAGCTCGACAAGCCTGTGCTCTTTGTGGTGGCTGTAACGACGCCACCCTACCTATGGATCAAGAGCTTGGAGTATGAATTTCAACATTCGCACTTTTTGTTTGTCCTCGAAACTTCAATGGAGTCCGAAGACAGCTGGTTGCAGTTCATCGATCATGCTCAGCAACTTGGCTATGTTAAGCTCTTGCTTCACACACCTCATAATGGAAATCTATATACAACTAAAATGTTTCCCAAAGCTCAATTGCTCCCCAGCAATGTGAGCTACTACCTGGACAACCAAAACCTATTTGATAATATGCTTGGCTATGGAATACGCGTAGCAAGCTACCACAGTCCCCCTCGGAGCCTAATTTACAAGGACGAGAAGGGGCAGCAGGTATTTGGTGGATATTACATGCGCCTTATACGCGACTTTGTGAAAGCCCGCAACGCCACCTTCGTGCCCATCTTCACCACGGACGCCTCTCCCCAGGACTGCACGGCTGCGCTGGTCGAGGAACGCGTGGATGTCTGTGCCGATGCATTGGCTGCCAATCGGGAAAAGTTTTCGCTTACCAATGCCATTCGCATGGCCTACGCCAATATTATGGTCGCTAATTCGCAACCGTTAGCGACCTACTGGTACCTGCTAGCCCCTTTCCACAGCACCGTGTGGCTTTCATTGATTGCCTACATTGGACTCTTAGTCAGCTTTATGAGCTTCATTCACTGGCGCCGACAGAAACGTTGGATATTTAGCAAGTTTCTGCTGGAGGCTATAAGAAGTCTGCTATTTACAGGTTTCAGCCTAAGGGATCTGCGAGGACGCGAACGGTATATTCTCTTTGTGGTCGTTTTCATTGCCGGATTCATCTTCGCCACCTTCTATTTGGCTTTTTTGAAAAGCTTGCTGGCCACAGAAGTCTTTGATAAACAAATAAACAGCTTTCAGGATCTAGTAGAGGCGAATAAAACGATCATGATGGACGAGTACAATCTGAGCTTGATTGGCAAGTATAATTTGCCCGAAATCTTGATGCAACTCATTGAAATAGTCCCAATGGAGACGCTGATTGCGAGTCGCAACAGTTTCGACCAGAACTACGCCTACATACTATTTAGCGACCGCATGGATCTGTTTGACTATGTCCAGCAGTATTTGGCGCACGCCCACATGCGCCGCATACCCATCAACTTTTTCTTTCTTCACGCCGGCTTTCCCATGCGGAAGAGCTGGTTTCTCAAGGACCAGCTAAGCGATGCCAGGATGTACGCTTTCGACAGCGGACTGCTGCAAAAACTGGCTTGGGACGCTAACTTCGAAACGATGCGCGTGGGCTGGATGGACTTCTTTGTCACGGAGTACTACGAGGCTCAGCAGTTAGGCTTGGATTATTTCGTCATGCCAGCCATAGCCCTGGGCCTCGGCTATAGCATGGCCTTGTTCAGTTTCCTCGTCGAGTTGGCGTCTCGGCGCATCTGCAAGCCAGTGGCGACTGAGCCAACAGTTGAGTGATTGATGAATTAATTCATCGCAGTTGCATGTTCGTGTCCAGCATTTCAAGGTGTAAGATTCTTGTAATTTTCGTGTACTCGTAGTAAATGTGAATAAAGCAGGAGTAGAAGCACGACAAGTCTTAGTTTTCTTTGGAGTAGAAGCACTGATATTGCAGGTGAACCAAATGAGTTGATTTAAGATATTAAAAGGCAATTTCGTCATTCCATTAAAGTCGGTGATTTTGTAGGTAAACCAAATCAGCTGACTCTAATTACTTAAGAATAGCAGAAGTATCTCTCTCTAGATCAGTAGATCCACACCATCCACAGCTCCAAGTGAAACTTTGTGCAGCAGCTTCTGTTGACAAATGGGGGTTTCCCATAATATAATTGATTTAGTTATATGGGTAGGGTAGCACTGCATTTTAAATTTCCAGTACTTAAACTCGAAATATTTTATGCATTAAACCTTCTTTTTCAAAATTTGTCTCCCCACTTATTGTATCATAAAAAGTGGTCTATGAATGTTGTTTATTTTTTCATTCCTCTTTCAATATTTCTTCACAATTAAGCACACTCAAATTTGCCTGCATGATCTGATGATTTTTCCGATAAAAATTCTAAAAAAAAAAAGGTGCCCCGTCTCATTTAAAAGAAAACACAATTTCCGCATCCAAAATCCGATTTTAAAATTGTTTCTTAAAATGTGTTGTATCCTTCGCTGTTCGTTTGTATTTTGCCTTCCACACGGTAAGTGCAAAAATATATTTTCATCTTCAATAGTTGTGCTCAACTATTTTTTCTCCACACGTACTCGTTTGTATGGATTTGTATGTATATTGGAAGTCAATAATCAATATCTTTTCAGAACAATATGCGGCCAAGCCAACGCTTATTACTGATGCTGCTCCTCACATCTATGCCCATCAAGAGTATGCAGGTACTTTGTAGAATTGTCGGCGAGCTTAACGCTGCTCTGAGCACGCAAACCAACATTTTCTTCATACCTGACAAAAAGACTAATATCCTCGACTCGCTCAACACGGACCCCGTACCCCGTGTCCTGTTCTCTCCAAGCGTCGCCAAATCAACTATACGCCTGCCACTGTACGAGAGGGTCCTCATAATAATGCACATGGATGGCATTTGCCTGCGCTTCATCAAGAGGTTGCACATCGACTTTCAGTTCAGCGATTTACTCGTAATCACAACCAAGTCCACCAAACACGACATGCTGGTTCGTTACAGCGAGCAACTCTTCGAACTGGGCTACCTCAATGTTTTGCACTATAACATGCCCAACGACGAGTTTTATGCGGCGCAGTACTTTCCCCGAATAACACTTGCAGCTACTACCATAAACCAATACTTGGGGCTTCGTGATCGGTGGACTCGCAACATGCAAGGCCATGAAGTGCGTGTGCTGACTTATCACAATCCCCCACGATCTCTGTACAATCCAGAGCGCGGCTTCCACGGTGGTTATGTGGTGGGTGTGCTGCGTGAATTCCTACATCATCGGAATGCCCGTTTCAAACCAGTATACGGCTCCAACCCTATGACCTATTCGCCAAACGATTGCATCGACGCAATACACAGCAATGCGGCGGACACTTGTGCGGATATGTTGCCCAAGAATGCCAAGAACGAAATCGTAGGGATGATTCATCTAGGTAGTGGCAAGATACTGGTCAGCAATGCTCGCGCCTTGCCCAAAATCTATTATATCCTTGCGCCCTTTTGCCCCCAACTCTGGATGATTCTCGTGGCCTACATTTTTCTGCTCAGTGGCTATTGCAGCCTTATCTGCTGGCGTCAGCAGCGCCGCTGGCGTTTTAACAAATTTGTCCTGCAGCTCATCTCCAGTCTGCTAAACACGCACTACTCGCTTCACGATTTGCGTGGTCCTGTGCGACGGGTACTCTTCATTTTCACATTTGTCCCAGGTTTTGTCCTCGCGACTCTATATTTGGCGTTGCTGAAGAGTCGACTGGCCACTGGGCTCTATGAGCCACCCATTAATAGCTTCGAAGCACTAGTCAAATCTAACACAACCATTCTGTTCAGTAAGTCGGATCTGCAGATTGCCAGCCACTTCGGGTTTCCCGACGAGCTGTGGCCAATTATTCAGGTGATTAACTACGAGACGTTGCTGCAGCTCCGTATTAACTTGGACACTCGGTTCGCCTATGTGGTATACAACGATCGGCAGCACCTGATCCAGTACCAGCAGCGGTTCTTACTGAAGCCCATAATGCGATTTATTTCGGACAACGCAATTCGACTGTTTGGAGGATTTGCAGTACGGCCACAGTGGTTCCTGCGGAAACAATTGAATACATACTGCCTTAACATAGCCAGCAGCGGAGTTCTTAGCCAAGCGCAAAGGCTCGCCGACTACAAATCCGTACAGGAAGGCTTTCTTCACTTTATGATCACGCAATACTATAAGGCAAAGCCCCTTGACCTAGACTACTATAAAATGCCAAGCATTTGTCTACTCCTGGGCTATTTAATATCCTTAATAGTATTTCTGTTGGAATCATTTGTTGCAAGAATTACTTTCCGCTGCAGGATACAAATTTTTAGAAAGAATTGATATCCGTCCTAATATGACCAAGTAAAAGGATTAGTAAAGGATTAGTAAAAACGAGCATAATTCATAGCTCTTATAATTTCATCATACAAAAATACAGACATTTTGAATAACACATTAACTTTTAGCCTGCAATACTTACAACTAATTTCTCGTATTTCTTAAACATAAGAAAATATTTATATAATAATTATTAAAGAGAACAATCACAAATTTAATGAAAGTTTATTAATCGTCTATTAATATCAATTCTAATTAAAACTAATTAGATTAGCAAAAATGAATGAAAGGAAAATCTCCAGCCTGGTGATTGCCTAGCCGGCAAGCTATGATCCAAAGAAACAGCCAGAAAAGGTCGATATTTCCCCGGAGATGGTTAAAAAGAACAGTTCTTATAGATAAGAGAGAGAGAGAGTCAATTGTGCATCTAATAATGTAATGGAAGATTATTCCTTGTTGATATACAAGGAACAGAAAATAAAGAAAATAATCAGGCTGTGAGGAAAAACTGCTCCATGAACGGATTGCTAAAGATGGAAGATAGTTGAACTTTCTCGCATTTTAGTCATATTCTTTCGGAGATCCTTGCGTTAATACAGCCAGGTGGACGGAGAGATATGTATAGATCGACTCTGTTTGTCAAGCTTAGCTAAAACGTATACATATATCTCGTGAGGTCTGTTTCAGACCATCCACTTTGTTGCTATAGAAACTAAAATGTCCATTTGGACATTTATTTCTGCTCAAAAAATCGAATATTTTGGTCCAGCCCGTGTTAAGGAGTAATTCGCATTTGAAAGTTAGTGCGGCACAGTGTGGGAAAATTCCACCCTCTACAGCTTCGACTACTACACACCCCCCAAAGTGACTAACCGCTTTTATTTCAGACATTTCTTCAGCATTCGCCTGCCAAGTCCGCGGCAACGTCTTAGTGTGCCTTTAAGCGCCCGCAAGTATGCAACGCAAATGATAACCTAACAGATATTCGAAGGGTTGGCGTGAAGGTTGGGCTGACTTCTGGCTGCTGACTCGCACAAATATTTGCCGCTAGAGAAAACAGAAAGAGAGATGGGAGGAAGTGCAAGTCAAAGGGGCGATAAGAAAACGACGTCAGGAATTACTTTTTGAGGCAAATGTAAAGAAGTGGGAGTCTCGGGGTAAGGGTTTCAGCTGTGGGCATAGCCGCCAAATGACTTGTGGGGACACATTTTAAAGTTCATTGACATTGGCGGCGGGGCGCATATGGCGAGTTTTTTGTGTGGCTTTGCGGCGCCGTCAACGATACAAAATGTGGCGACAATAAAGTTTATGTCTAGAGCGCCATTAAGAAACCCAAAATAGACAAATGTTGCATCAACAATGCGAGTGCCAGGATAGCAATAATCGAGTTGAAGCTGCTGCTGCCAATCAGGAAGACAATTCCCAGAGCCATTATGATCATCCTCATCTTGCAACTTTTGGCTGCACTCAGCTTGGCTTATTTATGACCTCAAATACGGCCATGAAGCTACCCGACGACACACTTTGCAAGTGTATTTCGACAACGCCCACCACGGCCAATAACCAGGACCAGTTGCAAGTTACGCGTTGCATCCATGTGCGTGCCTCACAACCATATCGCAACTCGTTTATCTTTCGCCCTTCACCAGCCTTAATTGTTGATTTCATGTTTTCAGCGCGACTTTAAATCGATTTTGTGTGCGATTTCACTGCCCACGATTGTCACATGTGGCTTCGCGCCGATCCTTATCGATTTTAGAGTAAGCATTTGTTTTATTTCTGTTTATTTGGAGTTTTATTCCCAGAGGTCTTTTAATTAAGATTGTAAGCTGCGATAAGTAGCAAGTGGTTTTTTTCACCAGGGGTGTGTCTACCCTAATCTGAACATGTGTGCATCGTCTCAGAGTAGTAGTACTAAAGATATGCTATAATACAATTTTTCATAATGTATTCTGTTTAAAAGCATAAATGGAAATAGCCATAAGAAATATACTTGTAGAATTAGTTTTCGAAAAGAAAGAGCAGTGTTTTTGATTTGTAATAGACAAGCTTAGCCACCCTGAGTTGATATCCATTATTATTGCATTAGATCAGAAGGGACGGATACAGATGCTTTATTTTAATATTTTTCGTGAGATATCTCTTTCAAAATGTACAAGTAGACATTGCCCTGTAAGGAAATATGTACGAACTTCACACACAGCAGGATGTATTTATTTACCTATGAGTATTTTGACATCAAGTAACGTCATCAAATATTTGTATGTGTACAATATTCTTCTCTCAATCCATTATATGGACAGTTTCGCCGATTCTACCTAAAAAAGATTTTAAAAAACTTCGTCTTATCCATCTAAAAAAACTAAACTTATACAATCCTTTAATTAAGTAACTGATAATTTATAATTTTTATGGTTCTCATATTATCGCAGATTTTGATATTGCGTCTAAGATGACTATGGTTTTGTGTGCAAATGAAAAGGACGTGTGGTATCCCCTTAAAAGAATAACCTCTAGACCATCTCTATGTGAATAAAAGATAACACATTGGTTTGAGAGACGTGACTAACAGACGCTCCCCAAAAGACAACCAGATAGTTTGAGATTTTACTTTAAATTTCAGTTTATTTTAACTTTATTGTTTATTACTGAATATTTATTTAATGTAATTTCGTTTATTTTTAATAATTTTAATATATGCACGTACCTACTGGGCTTAAGTACTAAATGAAATTCAAAATAATGAAAATGTTATCATATACAGATACAATAAAAATAAAAACGCACTTGCTAAAAAGAAATCGTGGAACTAATATAAAGTTGTACCCGTGAGTCATCATGGGTGGTTATAAAGAAATCCAAAAACCATTTTGTTCGACGGTTTAGAACTAAAAGTAGTTAGGACTACATATTCTGAATAAACCGTATTTTCTTTTACTAATAATATTCACATTTCAAATAATTTTTGCTTATTGTATTTAATACTATTATAAAGATTGTTCCTTTGATGTTGCTAAGTTTGATATTATTTTATGAAAATATAAACATTTCTGTTAGCTCATAAATCATGTTTACTAAGCATTTTTTTACAAAATTCCGTCAAAAAATAGGGAAAACAAAAATATATCTTGATAAAAATAATGAATTTGGCATTGCTGGCTGCAAATATAAATATTTAACAATTAAATGCACAAAATTAAAAAAACAAAAACGCAATAATACTTGTATAAATAAAGAGTTCTAATTTTCATTCACACAAGACAAAGTTGACCACTTTTCATTATTAACCAAAAGCGTACTTTAATCTGGCAGCAAATGCCAATTGGAATTCAAACGAAAATATTGCCCGGGCCCCCATTGTCCATATTGTACGACAAAAGAGGGCAGGACGGCAGCCCATAAATTGACCAATCGCTGGCCATTGAATAGGTCTGAGCCGAACTGTTATCAGCTACCAACGCAGCCAATATTTGCAGCAGTATATCACATGGAACGCAGCAGTCTGTTTGAACAAAAGCTGCAGCCAACAATTACACATGGAAGAGAATGACAATGTTCGAATTGATTGGAGTCGTCCTGATGTGGCATTGTGTGTCGCCTGCCTCAGCTAATTGAAACTGGTGAACGGTAATTGCTAGTACTGCTCGAATGCCCGCACCGTCTAAATGTGTTCAGCTTGTGAGGGGCAGATTTATTTATTTGCTCTCCAGGCGTGTTTAAAGCAACTTTGATATGTGCAGATAAAAATATCAGAGTCAACTTAAACGCTGTTATTTAAATCAATAATTTGTATACAAACTCTCATCGCTCGTTTTCACATTCGCATCATGCAATTTTAGCCTTCACATATGAGCCCAAAATTTATGTGCCATGCCTAATTTCACAAGGCGAAGAACTTCAAAGTGGGCTCCAGATCGTTACCTTAACTCGCTCGCGTGGTCGTAGACTGCAATTATCGCGCTTCAACTTATACTAAGATTAATGGCCAAGACAAGGGGGAATCGGCCACATTTTCTTCTCCATAAAAAAACCAGCCTTTAACAGACAATTTGTGATTTTTGGTAGATTCTGCAATTCATCTGCTGCAGCAATGCGTCGAGATCCGACTTACCATCTGTAGGTGTGCTTGATCTCGGAGGAGATCCTTTTTTACCCAATAGAGAATACCAATTTCCAGTAATAAATAGTCCGAAAATTTTTTTAACCTTTTTTAGTGCAGCCAAAATTAGCTGTATTATTTTATTATGTTTTTCACTTAAATGCTTAAATATTTTAGGTCTAGTGTCATAATATTATCTATCAAAAACATCCTGTTGTATTAAAAAATCTCGGCTTAAAAAGCTAAGGATAGATGACTCATGCAGGAACTCTGATGCTTTTCTGCACTCATATACGTAGTGTATGTTCGCAAATTACAGGCACATTAAGGTACAATATATCATAGACAAATTTAATGAGGCATTGTAAAAGTGGACTTAACCCAATTAAATAAAAATTCCAAGTTCAAGTCTTAAAGTAGGCCAGCATCCAAACCAAACAATAATGTAATGACAAACCCATACACGCCCTACTCTTCATGTTGGTGAGACGCCACATTCCTTTACTCTTAGCAATTTGAGAAATGTAATTTTATATTGCAGATGAAACAAATTCAAATTTCATTAAGCGTCCTCCTTCTTTGACTGGTCAATATCAATTGACCTCTTACTTCCCTGCGGTTACTATCGATTATTGATTACTTATCACTATTTAACTATTCAATCAGTATTGGGTCACTGCTTAATTATTGTTAGCGATTAGGGGTGTTCCTACTATCACCCATTCCTACATTTCATTCATAGTAACATGGTTGTTCTCAAAGTGCAATTTGATTCCAATATTCTTAAAAACTAACAGTTTTTTTTACAGAAACTTTCTCAGGCATAACGCTTGTACGGATATGTCAGCTATATGAGGAGCAGTTCGTCCGGTTTTGAAAGTTTTTATATTTAGGATCAGGCTTTATATATATACATATGTAATATTCCTTGCAACTATTGTGATTTTATTGACATTCTTTAACATGCAAACTAAGAGATCTGCTTCTGCTGCCTTTTTTCTTTCGGCCCAATCATTGGGTCACCCAATCGATAAAAATAGCCAACTCACACACGTACAAGCGGAAAAAACGTTGCCCAATTAAGCGCAACAAACAACTTTACGCCACATGCCACAAAGCTGCTATCAGCTCGATGAGATCGCCTTGATCAGATCGCGAATGGTGTGTGTGGCAATGTCTCCAGCCACACAGTCGAAGCGCACGATGGCTTTGTAATGGCCAACGATTTGTCGCTGTCGGACGGCCCCATAACGACAATGGCCGATCAGCGATCAGAGATGGTACGCGCCGATAAGATTGCGCGCACCGATACGAAGGCAACTCAAAAGAGACAGGACACTAGCGGCAGAAGTACGCGTCAGCAGGAGAGAAGCGGCATTTATGCTAATAAGTTGACATTTGACCACCATGACGAAATAATAAAACGATCAAAAGCCATCAAAATGACATGCGTCCATACAGTGGGCAGAAATGAAAATATCACGAGTAGCAACACTAGTGCGAACTTCAACTCTTTCTTAGATCAACGATCACGAGCCCTTTTCAAATAATTGTCAAACTATGCGGTTTTGAACGCGAACAAATCTTCTTGACGGTCCAATGTTCATGTAAATTATATTGAAGGTATGATGGTTTCCCCCAATGACCAAGTTTCATAGTCTCTCCCAAAAAACTTGTCCTCACGCGAACGACTGCTATGATAAAATAAATTTACGATTTTCAGCTAATTTAATTAATTTCAAAAAATAATATCAGTTTAAAAGAGTAAGAATTCGGCATAATGAAGTTGGAGACCATATTTATATCTATATATCCATATACTCGTACATAAAAAAAGTTACCTTTTTTCAAACTTGCAATCAATCATAATTTTGAAGCCGTTGTGGTACCAGTCCTCAGCTATAATTCCTTTTCACCCGTACTAACGTATCTGCAAAGAACACTTTTGGAAAAATACTATACATATACATTAGTTCTTGCTTAGTTCTTGATTTGTTAAAAGCTTGTCTTTGAGCGAAATTTTCGAAAATTATACGCTTATCGCATACGGTTTGTCTTGCCATATGTTCAGGAATATAAAAACTTTATGAGTTCAGAGATGCTTCTTCTGCATTAAATCTGCACAAATTAATATAACCTTTTCAGGTTTCCAGCTTAGAGTCTTAAGCCATAAACACAAAAACCACAGACGTCACCAAAAACATCACACGCTTAATCTATGTTCCTGGCTGTGATGAGAAGCTTTTATAGTTTTAACCAGACTCGAAGATTAGTTAATGTCTAATAAAATGCTTTGGACCCAATCAATTTTTTAAAGCTTTATTTTCAGAATTCCATCGTCCATGGTCTTCCGAAGCTCCTACCATTGCTGACGCCAAGCCGCTACTTGGCAATCGTTTGACAAACGAGCCGCAGACCGCCCCTGGTTACCGATCAAGGCACCGGCACCGCCACGTATGAAAAACATGCAATAATTTCCAGGAATTTCACGCCGTTTCGGACTCTCTGCTTATCTCGCCCGAAAGCGTATGCAAATTTAATGTATCTTCACACCATCTGCCGGCTCGAATCAAACCGCTTGTTAACTGGGGTTCGGGCATGTCGCAAATGAATTTTAATTGTTGCTCAAATTGTTGGTGCAGTTGTTGTTGGCGATGCCTAATGGATAATAATTTGAACGATTACGCTGAAGAGATCCCAATTTAGCGCATTTTTTATTACATCCGTTACATATTGTACAAACTATGTAAATAAACTTGACAATTCAGGCAGTTGCATTACAAACTATGTAAATAAACTTGACAGTTCAGAACGCGGCATTTGCTACTCTAGTGTATTGTATATACATTTATGCATATGAACTTATTGCCATTGCTCTGAATTTGATTTACGCCAGGAGTAACGACGTTGATCAGGTCCCTGTGTTTGCTGTTTGTGTTGCCAGTTTCTTCGTTGCTGCGAAGCTTTAGGTTCCTCTGATTCGTAAGAATTCTGGTGACGCCAATTTTGGAACCCATAAGGCTTCTGTACTTTATAGTACGAATGACTTTGCGTTCTTGGCTGGTAGTACCCTTGTTGCTGTTGCTGTTGCTGTTGGTGTTGGTACTGACGTCGTTGGTACCCAGACTGACCAATTGGTTGCCGGTAGCGCTGCCGATTGTCCGGATATTGTTTCCATTGGCTCCCTGACTCCCGGTAATCTGGTTGGCTTTCTTGTTCCCGGCGCGTCTTCTCCAAATGTTGGCGCTGCTCAATTTGCCAGCTGGGCATTTTCCGATTGGATCTCACAGACTGCGGAGCGGTGGCATCTCGCCCTCTTGAGAAACTGTCGCCTACATAATCTCGGTTTTCCGTTTCGTAGCTGGGACTTCTGTGGCGACGAGCCCTGGGGGGATGTGACGATAGTTTCTGCAATGCATCTGTATAGTTTATACGTTCGATTTGGTGGCCACGTGCAGCTGCGAATTCTGGAAGAAAATAATTAGCACTCGAAAATGTAAAAGTTTAACAGCTTACATACTTTGCATGGCCTCGGTAGGTGACATTCTCAGTTCAGTAACCATGAAGTAGCATATGAGGTACCCAGTGCGGTTTACGCCGTGTGTGCAATGGACGCCAATCAGTTTATCTGTGTGAAGTGGCATGAAATGCATATAGTCTACGCTGAGTAAAGGCTTCACTCCCCACCCGCTCCCACCCATGATCGATCGTCATGTTGAGCCACAAATTGCCACAAATTTCATTTTAAACATAACCACAAAAATGTGGCCCTCGCCCACGCGCAGTCCAACAAAAACCGGCTGCCTGCCTGGCAATTGGCATAAAAGCAGAAGCGACCTGGGTTAAGTCTAAAAAACAGCGCACTGCCAATAACATTGGCTATAAATTTCACAAAAACATGTCAGCAGCCAAGCAGCCAGCCAGTCCGCCCGTCCGCCAGGCCAACAACGATTCAGGTAAGCCACCGACGGTTTGGTCGCCTGGCCACCTTGTAGGTTGTCGGTTGTCGCTTTGTAGCCACAGGCGCTGCTTAGAGCTGTTTGTGCGCTATGCGGGTGTTGTGGCTGGGCCGCCGGCTATACGTCATGTTTTAGCTGCATTGAATCCAACTTACTACAGCACACATAGTATACATACATATTACCTACATATATACTCGAACAACACAATAACAACTTAAACGATTAGATATCCTTGTTGCACAGTGGCAAAAACTGGTCAATTAGGCCCTAAAACTACTGGTTTTTCAAAATGGGCGTTAATATAAGAATATGTATTTAAACTATGGGTGTTACGGCTGTTTAATTAAATGAGTTTATGTAAGATTTGCATTTATATAAGAGGATCAAGGGGTAGGAAGCATGAAAATAATACGGTTATGTGCATGAAATGGCGCTCACAAATGTCCCCTAAAAGGATAGTAGGAAAATATGCAATACTATAATGACGAAGAAAAATTGAAATTTATGATCCTGGGAAGAAATCTAGACTTTGCTATAATATAGTAGAGAATTCAAGTGAACTTGAGAAATTAGTATATATATTCCTTTTAACTCCACGTTATACGCTTCTTGCATCATTTTGTCATGTTGCCCATAAATTTGCACCTAAAACAATTCTAGTGCACAATGATTCGGAACAATTTGTGCTCGAATCTTGCCCATTGTCTATTCTGAACGGCAACGTCTTCTCCACTCGCAACCTGTTGACAAGTGGCGACCACCCCGATTTTAACTTATTTCGTTGATTTGTTTTGGCTTAAATGCTGTAAATGTGTTGCGTATTTATGTGTTGTTGCATAGTATAGTGCTGGAATTGGCATCACGCTGGCTATAGGTATTTATGTTGTCTCGAGCGCAGGCTTTAGGTAAATCGAGAGACCAAAATCAGGCAATTTCTTGATCCGCCTATTACAATATTAGCATATTTAAGCGTTAAAATGTTCGCACATACATTAGGTGCATATCTGGATAAAGAGCACACACCTACTACTATAACAGCAAGAACAACAATTGGTGCGCCAGTTACACAAAATGCAAATGCATTTTTTTGTGCGAGCGGGTATAATTAGAAATGCCTTTCTGTGTAAATATAGTATATGCGCTTTGGGCATGACTAAGCGAGTGTGCTGACGCTTCCCATAAATGATTTGTTTGCCTGCTCCTGAATATGGTCTGTGGTGTGGTTTGGTGGCTCCCACATCTGTAGGCAAGTTTACGATTTTTAGCGAGGGTTAAATATGTTTTTTGGCTAACTGGTGCGCACATTTCTTCTGCAGTTTGTTTGCTATGCGCTTTGTCTCTGATAGGCATCAGCAACATACTCGTAATTGCATAGCCGGCATTAACAACTTGCGTTTCATGTGATGACTTTACGGTTCGTTTGCATATTTTAGCGCACAATCTAGTTGTGCGGAAAGATATGCATCTGGATGAGGAGGCTTTTGGCATAGTTGGAAGGGAAAGTGCACACTACATTCCCACGATTGCCGACGTTGATGGAATGTGTGGGCTGAGGATTGAGCCAGAGCTAGCTGGAATTAACTAATACTCACCATTGTCTTTGTTGTTATTTAAAAATTCCTTAACATAGTTACGAAATCTGAAATAAGACATATCCTCTCATTAGTCGACGATAATTATAGCGTCTAGCCAGCTTTTAAACTCACGTCTTGGCCAAGGTGGGACTGGGTGTTTGCTTGCCTGGTATCATTAACTTTTTGTGTTCCACGTTATGCTTCTTAAAATCCTGCCAACAACATTTCGACATTAGTCAATAAGTAAAAAATAAATAAAAACATGACCCTACAAACCTCGCCATTGTAGTAACGGTTAGTATTTGTTAAGTCGATGATCAATCCCAAATTTGGCACACGCTTTACCAGCATCTCAGGGTCCAGGCGGAGCTGTTCCTCCCGAACCAAGTTGTTAACCTCCTGTGAATCAAAAACAGGCACATGTAGGTAAACAGTATTTGTATCACATGCAAAATTACTCAATTTATGCACTGCCCGTGAGCACTGCAATTAATATATTGGCTAAGAGGCCGTGTCCGGGCTCTCTGTGGCGTTATTTAATTAAACAAAAACAATATAATTTAATATTCATGCGCTGGCCGGTGTGGCGGCTGCGTGAGGTCCTGACGCAAGTGAATTCCATGTACTACTTGCCACTCTTATGCATAATAACAATACATACACAGATTTCGCCTGTCTTTTGTTATTTATTTTTAGAGGCGACGGCGTCGTGGTGCCGTAGCCGGTGGTCCCGGCCCTTTCAACATCAATCAATTGCTATTGCTACAGTTACGAGATGGTGCATGTTCGACTGCGCAGCTTCTGGCAACCGGTTATGTACAAAGTCACAAAACTTACTCACCGGAAGCAGCGGCACTTTGAAAGCAATGAAACGAGTCCCGAAGATGCGTTCACCAATAGGGCTGTAATCCAACCAACTGTAAAGAATATAATATGGTATATAAATGTAATATGTATATCATTGAGATTGGAAACCAAAGAGCAAGCCAATTATTTTTTGCAAAAAAATTGGTTATTCCCTAACAATACATTTTGAAATCTGACTACAACTGATTTTGAGTTAAAAATTTATGCGTATTTACTGCAGTTTTGTTGGTGATATTCCAGGTATGGGGCAACTACAAAAAGCAACGACAAATTCAAAACTAAATCTTTAACAAATATTAGGAATCCTGCAACTGGTCTCGATTTTTGAGGGTTTTTTTCAGACTACAGTGCGACCATTTAAAAAAAATACGATCGTACAAGAATATCCAAAGTAAAAAATGTAACATGTAGAAGTAGCAGAGGCAGAACACACAAGGCATATATGTATGTTCTTGATCTTGACCTCGACAAGACGAGGTAATCTAGCCCAGTCTATCCGTATGAACACCTGGATCTCTGAGACTATGGATAATATTGTACACAATATTGTACACAGATGCCTTATATGTGTACATAGTATGAGTATATTTTATTTTTTTGATAAGCCTCAACTCCCCCTAACGCCGTTCGTATAATCACCTATAGATACATATGTACATATGTACCTGTATATATGTATATGTATCACGGGGACTATAAAATCCAGAGACACCAAATAATGGTGCCAGGCGCCTTATATGATGACTTACTTACACCCTTTACGTGAGTTCGAATTCCGAAGGAAAAATCGGAAAGAAATCAACCCGAATGTTGATTTAAATGTTATTATTGGAAGTGACATTTTATCTGCAGAAAATTGCTTAGTCACTTTATTAGTTTTATTCCATTTAGCATCCAAAGTTTTATCAGTGTATTAGGTTTGAAAATCGTGGTATGATCCATACCAGAGCACATCTATACATAAATACATACATATGTCATCATTATTTCATATATGTATGTACAATACTTAGCTGCCGGTTGGTGAAACATCACACCTAGCAGAATAACATATTCATTTATGAAAACACCTGAACCAAATTTGATACATACATACATATGTATGTATGTATGTATTTACATATGAGTTCTTCTGGCCAATTATGTATATTCCGTAACATTGGCCCTTATATATGTATGTACATATGCACATGTATTTGTACATATTTATTTATGGAAATAGGTGCCATTCAAAAAATCAGTACTACAAAATGTATTATGAATGATGGACTGTGGCGAACTACCAGTAGAGGGTATAACGACGTCGGACTCGTGAGTTTTTTCGTATACAAATGTATGTATGTATTTACATGCAAACATTTACATACATATGTGCCCGTATGCACGTGTACTTATGTACATATGTATGGATAGATGCATCAATATACATATGTGCAAACATAGAGCAAAACCGCCGTCAAATCTGCAAAACGACTACTTGTACGTACCGAACAGGTATATTCTTGCCCATATTCTGCTGTTCAAGTGCGCCCCTCTATATCCTCTCAGTCAGTTGTTTAACTTATGTTATTTTTCACAAAACACAGCTCTTTCCATTAGCGTTCTCTACAAAAACTGAAACTTGGGTTGCCACACTGCTGAAAAGTACGCATAACAATTTTGTTTATTCTAATAATTTTGTTTTAGGGGTATTTTTTTTAAATTTTGTATTTACTGATTTGTAGCGAAAAAAACCCAACTGAACTCGATATTTAAAGCAAAGTGTTATTTTTTCAATGTGTTCAAGAAGCATCAATATGGTAAGTTTTACAACTGCTTGAAAAGGCACTAAAATTGCCTAAACGCCTTTTAGCAGCTGTTAAACGACTTTTGGACTTTCTTGCTCGTTGGCAGGTAAATTAACCGAGTCAAAATAAAATTTAATTAATTACAATTGGTGCATCTATCTAAGCAGTTGAATATAAGCACACAAACCCAAAATGTTTGCCGTCAACACCCGCAATATAATGCGCAGCGGTTTTGTAAGTATCAAATGATAAAGCGAATGGTGTTGGTTGCCTGATATTTGTTAAATAATACCCAAATTGTCCTCATTTTGATCACCTCACAGATACAGCGATTCAAGAGTACCCTCGTTGTTGCAGAGCACAACAATGAAGTGCTTAATCCCATTACCTTAAACGCTATTACGGCGGCCCAGAAGATCGGTGACGTCACAGTACTGGTAGCAGGCACTAAGTGTGGACCTGTGAGTGTTGTTGTTGTTTTGCCGTTGCTGGGGTGAATTCTGTTTGCATAATCAATTTAAATTATATTAATGACAGGCTTCAGAAGCTGTGGCAAAAGTTGCGGGCGTTGCCAAGGTTTTGGTTGCAGAAAATGCCGCTTTCAAAGGATTTACTGCCGAATCGCTGACTCCGCTGATCCTCGCCGCCCAGTCGCAGTTTAAATTTACGCACATTCTGGCCGGTGCGTCGGCATTTGGGAAAAATGTATTGCCCCGCGTTGCCGCTAAACTAGACGTTTCTCCCATATCGGAAATTATCGATATCAAATCGGAGGATACCTTTGTTCGCACTATCTATGCAGGCAACGCCATCTTAACTCTTAAGTCCAAGGACCCTGTGAAGGTTATTACTGTACGTGGCACAAACTTTCCACCAGCCGCCACCACTGGTGGAAGTGGCACCGTAGAACAAGCACCCACAGGAGATTATGCCAGCAGCTTGAGTGAATTCGTCTCGCAGGAACTGACCAAATCGGACCGACCAGAGTTGACGGGCGCCAAGGTCATTGTATCAGGTGGTCGCGGCCTCAAGTCAGGGGACAACTTTAAGCTTCTTTACGATCTGGCTGATAAGTTCGGTGGAGCTGTGGGCGCTTCGCGCGCTGCTGTTGATGCTGGCTTCGTGCCAAACGACTTGCAAATTGGGCAAACTGGTAAAATTGTAGCTCCAGAACTGTACATTGCTGTTGGTATCTCCGGCGCAATTCAACATTTGGCTGGTATGAAGGACTCAAAGACTATTGTTGCAATCAACAAGGACCCGGAGGCGCCCATTTTCCAAGTAGCCGATGTCGGTCTTGTAGCAGATCTGTTCAAGGCCGTACCCGAATTAACGGGCAAGTTGTAAATGTGAAATCGAAGGAACATCTAGTATATAAAGTACTCGATACTGTACAACTTATGAACATAATTCTTGCATTTATTTGTTTTTTAATCTGCTCCCAACCCCGTTGGTCACTTCGCCCAGCCAATGGTTGGATGCGCTTCCATAGTTGTTTTCTCCGTCTATTTTTATAATAAAATTAAGATGTATATCTAACATATTAATTGGATTTATTTAATTAGTGCACTTAACAGTGTTTGTTAGTGTATTCAGAAAATTGACGCTTATCAGTATCAGTCCGTTGCGTAATCGGCTCGGCATATAACCCAACAAACAATTTCACGGTCTCCAGAAATACTATATGTTTAGATCATGTTTTGTTCACTGTTGAATGCATGTGCTATGCAAACTAATTAGGAAACTACATACATACATATGTATGCATCTGCATATGTATAATGTGTTGACCTAAGAAAATCTGGAAATGTAGAAAAGCTAGCCCTGTCCTGGTCAACGGATCTTCAAAAACATGCATTAATGTGTGTATGTTTGTATTTACAGACGAGTGTGATCTTTGTTGAATTGATTCATAATCTAGACCCTCTTTTAGTGGGTTAATAAACTGAAATGACACAGTGACTTACAATTAAACCACGAGAGAGTCTGCACAAATGCATTTACATGCATGCATATGTACGAGTATATACTTATGTATATATGTACATTGTATGTAGGTACATATGAATATAATTAATATGTAATATGTACATTTGCAGATAAGATAGACACAAGTGCGCCATTTATTCCATTAACAGCTGCTTCGCTTGTTTGTGAGGGTGTATGCACAAAATACAACTTACATATTTACATACATAAGTATGTACATATGTATGTATATTATAAAAGCACAAATAACAAACATACATGCATATACATATGTATGTATGGGTGTACTACATACACACTTGCAATCAAACCACTCAATCTTTCTCTTATGAAAATGAAAAAGTTGTGGGAGATCGAAACTAAAATTTTCCACATTGAAAGAGAACAGAGTCTGAGAATCTTGAGATTTACACACATGTATGTATGAATGTATGTATGTATGTATGTGCATATTTATGGCTGCATGGAACTTAAATCTGTGTATATTATGTTTGTATCTTCTGGATAGTTTGCGTATTATCGTGAGGCAGACTCGAACACGTGCCCAATCTCAGAGACGGGCAACTTGTTTTGTGCTGGTTTTTTACCCTATCCAGAAAGGTTGTTTTCGTGTTATAAGTATGTACAAGTATATACAAGTACATCCATATGTATGTATGTGTCCATAAAAAATCAGAATAGCTGAATGGTTAGAAAGACTAAGCTGTTTTTCAACTTGCTAGTTTATATATACGTGCATACAAATACAACTACTAGACATCAGGTTACCATATCACATGGGATAAATAATATATAGATAAGAAGAAGGTCCAACTTTGAATAACGTTCTTTTGTTTTTAATATTTAAATGTAACTTATTAAGACCGTAAACTAAATTATGTTCATTAATTGAAATACCATATTTCTTTTTATGAAAACAAAAAAGATTTTTATTTAGGTCATTTTATTTTCCAACGGGTCTAGATAAGTTGAATTAACTACGTAGCATATACATATGTAGCTCTATATGTGTACAGGGTATGTAATAGTCGGGTACGTTCGGCATTGTATCTTCATGTTTTTTTTACTTTTACTCTATTGATAAGAAAGTCTTTCCGCATCTCTGTAGTAACTTTAGTCGACTCGTTCACTACCCTGCAATCAGAAATGAGCTTTTCAACCAAATACAATTTTAAATACATAATTGAAAATTTCGAATGAATTTTAAAATGGAGACTAAAATTATGTGGTTAAATTATGGCTAGGATTACGGCTGAATGATTATGTTGCAAAATAGATTCAAATTTCAACATGCTTTCGTATTTATGTATGTATTTTACGACAAATCCGAAGTATATGACTAGTGAACTAATCAACCCGTACGTCTAGCAAATGTAGTGCCATTCACTCAAATGACTTGTATGTTCACACCAGCGTCAGACTTCAGTGCTCAGTTGGACAGCGTGCGCGGCGCATTAAAACGAAGCAATCCGGAAAGCGAGTCCAATTTGTAGAACAGAAGTTCGTAAAAATGCAGAAGACGCCTATCAGTGAAAAGCGACGTGTGTGCGTGATAGGTGCGGGCACGGCCGGACTATGTGCATTGAAGAATTCACTGCAGCATGGACTGGATGCGGTGGCCTATGAGCGTGGAACAGATATTGGTGGCACGTGGGTTTACTCCGAGGACATGCCCAAGAATGAATACGACGAGGTGCACAGTAGTATGTACGAGGGCTTACGGTAGGTAGTGAGGAACAGTTTACGGGTTTTTTGTTTTGTTTTTATGTTCATGCCACATGTCTGCAGCACAAACTTGCCTAAAGAAGTAATGGGCTATCCTGATTACTTGTATCCCACCGATATTGAGGAATCCTTCATCACATCACACCAGGTGCTGGATTTTTTACGATCGTATGCTGATTATTTCAAGGTAATAACGGGTTGAATATATTAATGTTTTTAAATTGTCAGCTAATCACGGGACTTTTACTCAACAGCTGCGCCCGCACATCAAACTGCAGCAAGAGGTCATCAGAGTGCGGCCCCGTTTGGATGATTGGGAGGTAAGTGTTGACGTTGAAACCCTGTTGTTGTTGCTGTCGTTTAATCAATACGAATATATGCGTCAGTATTTATTTTTAAGTGCACATACTTTATTGGAGGTACATATAGTCGTTTCGTAACTGACCTTAAAAATAGTTATTACCGCATTTTTTTAAATTCCTTATATGTACATATGTACGTAGGTTTACGTTTGGGACTACACTACCAACAAATGCGACCCCATTTACTATGATTTCGTCTACGTCTGTAACGGCCACTACACGGAGCCAGACTGGCCCGAAATCGAGGGTAACGATATATACCAGGGCAAACAAATGCATAGCCATTTGTACCGTAAGGCCCAGATGTTTGCAGGTGAGTGATCATCTGTCATGTACATTAAATTAACATTAGTACATTAGGTTCGCGTGAGGTGAAAAATGTAACAGGCAGAAGGAGGCGTTTCAGATCCCATAAGAAGAGTCAATCTAGCCCTGTCTGTCTGTATGCACACTTGGATCTCAGAAACTATAAGTGCTAGACAAAAAATTGTCCACAAAGATGCTGCTTATGCCCCCCTACTCAACCAATAATGGAGATTTTCCATAACGCCATAACGCCTTATAATCATTTATGATGTTTATCTGTGAGACTATAGGATCTAGGAGCACATTTTCAGTCCAAGACGCCGAATACGCAGAAAATGTGTACTTCCGAATTTTCCATCCTCCCCCACCTCCCCGCAATTAGTGATTTTCTGTAACTCCAGTATTTCTTGGAATTTTTACTCAAATATTGAAAATTCCTTCAATTTGCAAGGAAGTTATAGCCTATGCGTAGTCTCAGCCCAAGCTCTGCCCGCAGCACGCATAGACTCACATAGATAAAATACCTATGTGAATGTGCAGCTATAATTACACCGTATAATAGATTAAATTTGTTTGTATCATAACAATTTCATTACTTTTTTTCAATTTAAAAAAATTTTTCACATTTTTATAATTATTCTACACATACATATTTACAAAGTATTTCTATGTCGGGAAACCCGACTTAACCTTCTTCACGTGCTTAAGCTACGGATGCCCTGCACTCAAAAGATAACACGTTTTTATGAAATTCTTTAGTTTTATGTTATTAGTAATGATCTTAAAATGTATTAAAGCTGGGTTTTTAAGATATATGCTTTAGTAGACAAACACAGGATTTTTGAGAATTCTTAAGATATTTATTTATCTTTTCGTTATGAAGTACTTAATAATTATAGTTGCTTCAGACAGACCAAGGACAGACCAAACGCAAGTGAGCAGCTTCATCGTGTTTGTCTTTCATAAAAATATTTTACTATCTCCGAGTAGGATAGACAGATAGATAGAATATACTCGAACAATCCGGGCAGTGACGCGAGGGGGCCGTCGTCTAGCATAATTTGAGAATAAAATGTTATTTTTGTAGATTCCACTGATAATACATACGAACACTTAATCTCAAAGTGGTTATTATTGTTTGGTGCGTGCCTGAAACCAAGCGCTGATAGCATGATCTGATCCGATTGAAATTTGATTAATATTTCTCAGGTGAAAATGTGTTGGTTATTGGCGCTGGGCCCAGCGGTATGGATATTACCAATCATATACGTAAAGTGGCAAAACAGGTTTATCTAAGCCATCACTTAGATACCACGCCCAATACCGCCTTCATGGGTAATGTGACACAGAAACCGGATGTGGCAAACTTCACCAAAAATGGTGCAGTATTCAAGGATGGTACTGAGGAAACATTCCAACATGTTATTTACTGCACTGGCTACAAATACTCCTTCCCCTGCCTCAGTACCGATGTCGGAGTGCAGGTTATTGACAATTTTGTTCAGCCACTGTGGAAGCACTGCGTCAACATTAACAATCCTACGATGGCATTCATTGGCCTGCCTTTCAATGTGATTCCCACGCAAATATTCGACATGCAAGTTCGTTTTACGCTCAAATATTATACAGGACAACGAGATCTACCTACGCGTGAGGAAATGATGGAGGACCTGGAACGTGAGATAGGCGAACGCTGGAATTGCGGATTCCGCAATAAAAAGAAGGCACATCAAATGGCCGAGCGGCAAGTAAGATATCTTGTGTTTTGAATTACTATCGGACTTTGTACAATTATCCGAACTTTTCAGTTTGAATACTACAATGAGTTGGCACGCTTGGCGGGCATTGCTAATATAAAGCCTGTCATTTTAAAGATGATGAAGGACTGCGGCAAGAAATATATATTTGAATTGGATTCATATCGCAACAACCGTTATAAAATTATAGACGATGAGAATTTTATCAAGAACGGCAAATAAGGCGCTTTTGTAACTATGTTTATTATTTACCCTTGTATTTCTAGCTTAGTGTTTTCTACTTAAGACAAATATAAATCACTGTGAAAGAACAAAACTGAAAAACAAAACTGAAATAAAAACAACAATGGAATACTACAGACGCACAGGCCAAACTCTTAACTGAATTTTTTTTTTTTTAATTTTATACTTTATTTAAATTAATAAAATCAAAACCAATGCTTTTGCATAGCTTTGTTGTCATTTATGTATGTACATAGTACATCGAAATTGCGCGTATGTATGTATTTAAGCGCGCGCAGAAACAACAATTGCTGGCAGTGCATGGGCATTGATTACATTTATGGCTATATATTTATGTTGGGAAAGTTTCAGGAAATTCGTGAAATTTTGATTTTGTAATACTGATATTTTTAAAAGCTTAGGAAGACTGCAATGTCAATTAGCAGCAACATAAATATTAATGGTAATAAAGAAATATACCGGTCCTAAGTTTCTATCGCTATCACGAATTCGGAAGCTCTCTTAAGCATTCACAATTATTCTGCATTATTATTCCACGTGAATACTTAATTTCTGTCACATTATTGTCCAAAAACTCACCATATATTTGTTAACAGTGCAATGAGTTCTGTTCGCCTACTTTTTCAAAGAACAGATGAGTTGGAATATCGCACTGTTTTCTCCAAATACATGCACTTAAGATTTAGTGGTTATATTTTAAATCATTTATTCTCAGTGATAACACTGTTTGTGGAAACCCTTTGTAATGATTTTACAACATGCGAAAAAGTATAACATTTCTGCTAATGAACTCTAAATCAAACAGTAAGCGGTTACGTTTACAATTAGCTTAGAGCACTACTTTTTAAGAAAGTGGCAACGCTGTTGTTGACGCGTTGCATATTATTCATTTGAACTGATTCCCGCTTGAACCAGTTATAGTTCCGTCAAGACCGCGTCCGTATTGCAATCTTTTTGTTAGGATTTTTTATAGTTTTAATTTTAAACAATTTGTGTAGCTGACCACATGCTTAAGTGTACAATATGGCGTCCATAGATAGCGTGAGAATGCTTCTGCAATCGCTGCCTGCTCAGCAAACTGAAAACGCGTCACAGTCCGGCGTAACAACGCCGCTGCGAACTAAAAATCCACAGCAGCCAATTATCTCAACTGAAAAGCCGGAGCGGGGAAATAAACAAATGCAATCGCTCAAGGCCGATGACTTTTGGCGGGACTTGCATCAATTTCACGAGCGACGCGGGTGAGTATAAGTGCGCGTTAGATGTATGGAAATGTCTAATAGTCAGCACCCTTTTATAGCACGCCGCTTACACAGGCGGCAAAGATTAGTGGTCAGCATGTAGACCTCTTTAGGTTGTACAATGAAGTGACTGAGCGAGGTGGATTCAATAAGGTCAACCTACGTGACGAATGGGACGAGGTGTACAGCTCGCTGGAAACGTTGCGGGAGCGCTGCGTTAATGGTACGGCAGGTATTAAGCACATCTACCGGAGGTATCTGGACAAATACGAGCGTCTCAATTTTTTTGGCGAGGATCCTGACAAAATGGAGGCACTAGAGGCGGCAATTGAGAATGCAGAACTTGGCGGCAGCAGCAGATCCCGATCACGTGCTCTGGCTGGTGGAAGTGGGCTAAGTAGTATATTTGGCACACAGCATTCCATGCTGACCGCAGTTCCCATGGCCTATAATCAGAGGCAACACAATATTAATTTGGAACGTAGGCGGCATCACAAGCTCTCCAGTGATCTGCACAAGCATAGCAACTACGAGAAACTGATGCTCTCTCTGCTTTCGCCCCTTCCCAATGAGCAGGACTTTGCCATAAATGTTTGCACGCTGATGACCAATGAGGCGAAACACACACTGCGCCTACCGGAGTGTCCCAAGCTGCTGGATGCGCTGCTGGCCCATCTGGGTGTATATGCTGACTATACAATCCGTAAGTTGTTCCAGCATGGCTATCAGCATGTTCGACGGCACTCTCAGTTCAGCTTTTGGCGCGACCTATTACACGACAAACCACAAATCCTTGAACTCTATACGGATGAGCAAGCTTGGCGCGACAATGGTTTGATTGGGAAAGACGATGAAATGGGAACTGTTTCGGATGAAGCAGCACGAAATGCGCTGTTGGAAGGTTGCGATGATCTGGACTTTCTTAATCTAGGCCGCAGCGATGGAACTGGCGACTACATGGGTCAGCGCGTATTACAAATCGCGCAAATTGTACGCAGCCTCAGTTTTCATGAAGAAAATCTCACAGTGCTATCAAAGAATCGCACGCTTTGGCGCTATTTGGTCATGGGTGCCAATGTACGTTGGAGTAAGTACAGCACATAAGCTCCAGTGAATGTTTTTCCCATAATAATTATTTTCTGCTCACCAGGTAACATTCACACGCAAGCACTGGAAACGGCGGGCAATCTAGCACAAGAGTTCGAGTTGCTCGATCCCACCACTGATGAACTGTCGCGTAATTTGCTGGCCACTATTTGCGAGGGTGTCGACTCAGCAGACCGCAACGTCATTATCAATTGCTTGGAGATTCTTTACAAGCTGTGCGCCAAGGAGGGCAATGGCGCACACATCAATCGGTGTCTTAGTCTGGACTTCTACCAGCGCGCCATGCAACTGCTTTCGCTAAGCGATGTAATGCTGCTCATCTTCACGCTGGAGGCCATCTATGCTCTAACCTCTCTGGGCGCACGTGCCTGCTCCATGTTGATGCAAGTGAACGGTATTGTTGAACAGTTGGTGGCGCTACTGACAGTAGAGGCGCAAAGCTACGGACCCGAGGGATGTATCTTAATGCGCGTTGTAGAGATTGTTCCGGGCAACATGTTGCCCATGGTGGCCCAAAACATAGCGAACATGCAGCAGTCAACAGTGCAACCGGTCCCGGTGGTACTACCTAAACCCGTGGCCTTGCCGCCGCCGCAAATGCCAGCACAGACGCAGGTGGTGTCTCAAATTGCTGTGGAACAGCAGCCACCTGCACCAATCCCGGCATTGCCTGTGCCCACCCTGCCCCAAGTTCAGATACCTCCCGCTCCTATAGCTTCTCCTTTACCCGCTGTTGTGGTCCCGTCTGCTCCTTCTGTTTTGCCCGCTCCTCCATCGGCCCCACAGAGCTGCACCCATGATGATGAACAGTATGCGTTGGCTTGGCTGGGCGCCACATATGAACGAACCGCAGCCATTGGGCCTGAGACCCGCGTGGAACAGCAGGAACTTTATCGTATCTACCTGGCACACTGCCAGAAAGCGGGTAAGCTCTCTGTGGTCAACCATATACAGTTCCCACGGCTCGTGCGCCTTATCTTCAATCAGACGGTCGGTCCGGTTATAGTGCGTCTATTCGATGGTACCGAACTGGCAGGTACGCATTATGTGGGAATCAAGAGGCGCGCCCAAGCGCTGCCCATGAATCAGCAGCAACAGCCAAAGCCAGCACCACCAGTGGTGGTGCAAATGCCGTCTTTGGCCATCGAGAAAAAAGATCTTCCCGAGAAATTTGACAGCAGTAATATCAGGCCAGAACCAGCCGTTTCACAACTGTCGGCTGCTGTCGAGCCAGCAGCGGAGGAAACTCCTGCCCCTACGCCGATTCCTGCAGTGGCAGCGACCACCCAGCAGCCCAGCTCATCGCTGATAAAAAGTCTCCTTGCAAACAAGGTGACAGAGCGCCAGCAAAAACAGAAAGCTCTGGTTACTCAGGTCCAGAGTACACAACCTCCTAGTCTAGTCGCCACCACAGCAGCAGGAGGTGCCGCTGTTTCGAGCGCTCAACCCATCAAGGTCACCTCAACGGCTATTAGTGCCTTTGTGAACAATCCGCTTATGCAACACACGCCTGTCAAAGTTGGCCAGACCACCATAAAGCCCCTGCATCCCCAGATGTCACTGGACAAGAAATCACCGCTAGTAACTGACTCTGCGCCCCCACCACTGGCTCCACTGAGCGGAGCTAATGTAGTGACAAAGGATGCCAGCGGCCGTACGGTCATCATAGCCGCGGGAAAACGCAAGCTGACTATTGATGACTCGGCGACGGATCAGGTGAAGCGCTTGGCGTTGGAAAATACGACCCCTGCCGCCGCCAAGGATGAGCCACAAGTAACGCCATCCAAAAATGCAGCAAACCTCTATGCCGATTTGGCCGCATCTATATTAGAAGATGAAGATCTCGACGATGTGCCGCCACTAACTAGCACCGCCTTACCCACCCAGGATCCAGCTACCCAACCACAACAACAACAGCAACAATTGCAGCTCATACCAGCCAAGGTCCACAACAGCAATATGACGACTCCTGCCCAGCGACAGCTTGTATTCCCTTCCAGTGGTGGACCACCCCAACTAAAGCTAGCCACTACGGCTACCATTAAGACCGATCAGGGTCTGCAAACAGTGCCGGTTATACTACAGCCCAAAAGCATGGACAACATTCCGGCCACATCGACTCAGCCACAGACGCAGTACGTGCTGGCAACCAATCAGCAGGGTCAAACGTATTTGGTGGCACAGCAAACGCAGCCGGCACCACCCCCACCACCGCCCACACAAACTCTGCTTGTTACCCAGTCGCCACAGCAACCTGGATCTGGCACCAAGACCATCATCATCTTGCAGCAGCAAGGGGGTGGTGGCATCAGCACCGCGAGTGTCGCCGGCACTCAAAAAATGCTCATGACCACAGCGCAGGGTCAACAGGTGCTAGTCACAACAGCACCAGCCCAACCACGGCCACCACTGACATCACAACAACAGTCGCAGCAGATCTTCATCAATCCTCAGCGTACTGCGCCACAAGTGGGTGTAGGTGCTGGTCAAATGTCACCCTCCTTGCTATCGCAGCTAAATCAAATACCGGCCACTATTAAGCTTCATCAACCCCAGTCTGCCACGCCACCGTCAACCCACCAGCGCTTGGCTAAGACCAGCGCACTGCCTATACCTCAATTACAACAACATCAGTCAATCATCCAACAGCATCTCATCTCGGGTCCCAGCGAAAAGCGGCAGGTACTACTAGGCGGTGGACGAACGATTGAGATCAAGGAGACGCTCATCACACAGACGCCCACGACACCGCTGCAGCAGAGCCAGCTGAATTCTCAGACCATCATAACTACTCAGCCAACGACAGGAGGCGTTGTACTTCAGCAGCAACAGCAGCACATACGCTCGGTGCTAGAACAGCAGCAACAACATCATCCTTCCATCATTCAGCAGAAAATCAGTTTGCCCGCAACTACAGTAAACTCTCCCTCCACCCAAGCTGTGGTGGTTCAGCAGTCATCTACATTGGCTACAACGGTAAGTAGATCAAAATTACGGACCCATTGGCATGAATCCGAAGTAATTGGCAAATAAAATATAAGCTTGTACATTTCATGTACTGGATATAATAATTGAAGATTTCTTTTTTACACAATGTGCATGATTACATTAAAAGCTTAAAAATGCCACCGCAAATATTTACAGATTGAGTATTCATTTCCATATCATATCTTATCAATTTGTGTTCGCTCTATGTTCTGAAATGTATACTAATTTATATATATTTTTTTAACAGCACTCAGAATCGGCCAAACCTACACTAATGGCTGGAAATAAGCCAACGATCACGCCGACAACGGCTGTGGCTAAGAAGCAACCGGCGCCAGCACTGGTGCCTCCAAATAAACCACCACAGCAATCGACAACAGCGCCTCCAGATATTCCCAAAATTATCGCACCTGAAACTAAATCATTGGAGCAGCAACATGTAACAACAGCTATAACGTCAGTCGCTGCTCACTCAGTAACGCCCCCCATAGGCAGTAACAGTATCTGCAGCAGCAGTTCCACAATAGTTACTAGCAACAGTACTACTACAACAGCTACCAGCAACAGCTCTACCACGACCGGGACCCCCATCGTCTCCACCAGCAGCTCCACCACCGCTGTCTCTCCGGCTTTGCCTATCGACGTGAATTGGCTGTTTATTTGCGACTGGCGCAACTGCCCGCGTCGAAAATTCAAATCACTCAACGAGCTACAGCACCATATGTGGCGAGTCCACTGTCCAGATCATATAGACGCCGCTGCAGAAATCTACTGTCAGTGGGGCGTTGGACCCAACTTCTGTGACAGCATACCCCGCAAACGTTATTCGCTGATGACTCACCTGTTTGATCGCCATTTAACGCCTGAAGGTCTGCGTGCCAGTGCGCAGCGACGGATTGCCACGGGCATTTACAATGTTGCGCCGGCACAGCCAGTTGTTACCATTGTACGCAACGTGGAAGCCCGAGCAGGCACCACCTCGCCGTCAGGTCGTCTGCAGGTTGGTGGGAGCGAGGCTTCGTCTCTTCCTGGGGTGAACAGCTCAGCCCTGCAGGCCATAAAGCGACACACGATGGACTATATTAATCCCAAGGAGCTAATGGATGAGAACGAAGGGCCGGTCACCAAGAGCATTCGTCTGACTGCTGCGCTTATCCTGCGGAATCTTGTCAACTTTACGTCAACAGCCAAACGAAATTTGAGAGGCTATGAACCACACCTGGCCAACGTCGCGCTTAACAATGTAGAAGCAAGCGGAACAATTTCCCACATTCTGTACGAGTTGAGTCAGTGAACGGCAATTCGATATCTATTCAAGTAGCGTGTATTTTTGTACTCCTCTTAAAAAGAATAACATTTATTAAAGTCACTATTAATGTGTGGAAAGAAAACAACGTAATTGTGTTTCGACTTCATTTCAGTGAACTGAAATCCCCCACTTCTTGGAATCTTAGCTGCTGTTGAAGTACAACTTTATTTCAGAATCAATTGGTAAAATCTTAAATGTTATAGATGTAACGATTAATTTTCGCCCCAATTCCTACATGGGGTACCTCGTATTAAAAAAGAAGTTTGTCGTACGAAGCTTGTTATAAAATACGTATATAAATACATATGTATGTATGTACATATGCACAGTGGCGAACACTCATGAATATTTGTGCATCACATTTCAGGATAAACATCTGCAAAATCTTTAAAAATGAATTAATGCTTGTGATTTTATATATCCTTTAACCAAGGGCGTTGACAGGGGGCGGCCCCCCTACAAAAAAATTTTCCATATGAAGTCGACCACACGTTCATTATTATGACGCACTATTTCGCCTTTAAATGGAACTGAGTTGGAAAAATTTTAATTTTTTATATCCCCTTTCGCGCGTTTGCAATTGTATACCCTATACCCAAATGGCATACTAGCTCATCAGAGCTAGAGTAACCAAAATGTTATCTAGATTCTTCTAAGCCCGAAAAAGGAGCTCGTGTTTTTTTCTGATGCACCCCCACTGCTTGATATTCGAAATTTTCCATATCTCCCGGTATTTTCGGAATTTCGAGCTCAAATTTGGCAAAATTAGTTTTTATTTGATTTAAATAATTAAATTTTTAAAATTAATCTATACAAAAAAATTTTTATCAATTTGTTTTGGTTTTTTTGGGAGCGGCTGCAGAGTATTAAAGTCGGTCGACTCTACCATTCCTTTTTTGTTCTAACTTGTAAAACAGTTCGGTGAGAATTACCAAGAGACTTAGTGATTTCCCGTGCTGATTGGTTGTTTTTCGTCATTTCGAATATTTGTTTTTCTTCTTCCTGCATTAGGCAGGATTTTTCACATTTTGAGTTAAGATTTCGGGAATAGTTCGCAAATATCCTAATAAACAGCAGTCAATTTGTCTACTATTTATACTCTGTACATGAAATGGAGGTTTGCGGGAGGTGAAAAATGTAACATGCATAAGGAGGCGTGGTAGACTCCATAAAGTATATATTTATATTCTTGATCAGCATGACAAGACGAGTCGATCTAGCTATGTCTGTGTTTCCACATGACCACCCATATGATCACCTAGATCTCAAAAACTATAAGAGACAGAGACACCAAATATGTTATACGCTCTCTTGCTTATAATTATTATATTGTTTTATTTTTATTAAAAATTTAAAGAATATTTAAAAAAATTACCAGATTTGATTTATTTTTACAGTTCTTACAGGTGTTTAACCTGAAATGTGATGAACATGTATTATGTTGGCCAATTGTACTCGCCAATTTTGGTTTCCCTATCTATTATGACTCGAAAGCTTTCGAGGTTCAGGCACAAGTTGCCTGTCATTTCTCCTTCTGGCCCCCTGCCATTACAGCTTTTAGGGAACATTTTGATTAACTTTTCTGGTAGAGAAATGAAATCCAGGTATAACCAGCAAATAAACTGTCGGTAAATACTAATAAAAAATGCAGTACATTTTTCAATGATTTGATTTTGAAACATTTGCATGTATTGAACCAATTGGAAATACTAAATTTTTTAAAAGTTGTGCAGCATTTTTATGCAAGCTGGTCACACTATTCTCGTCGCACATGTACAACTATTTGCACGTTGAGTAACAGTTTATCGGCTTTTGGAAAAAAACAACATATTTTAAAAAGCAAAAAATTAAATAAGAAAAGTTAAATGTCCCGTGCATTTCGTTGTGCAGCTGTATTCGGCAAAACTCGCCAATTGTCTAGAATTCAGGGCGCGATATGGCGTATAAATAATGCGGCAACCACCTCGGCGATTCTTCACGTGCCGTCATATTCCTCCACCGTGTGTAAGTTGTAGCGATAAGCCCAGTCAAATTCCTTTGCAAATCTGTGCTTGCGTTGCAGCTCTAGCGAGACGCCGCTACGCTACAGAGCCGAAGCAGGCGCCAGGTGTGGGGACTGTGGACAAACATGAGTTCCAGGCCGAAACAAGGCAGCTATTGGACATTGTGGCGCGTTCGCTGTACTCGGATCATGAGGTGTTTGTCCGGGAGCTGATCTCAAACGCCAGCGATGCACTGGAAAAGTTTCGATATACGTTGCTCAGCGACACAGAAAAGGCACTGGCGGCTAAGGACCGAGCTCTGGAAATAAGGATCACAACTGACAAGCCGCAGATGCAACTGATCATACAGGATACTGGCATAGGCATGACACGCGAAGAGCTTGTCAGCAATCTGGGCACCATAGCGCGCAGCGGATCCAAGCAATTTCTGGAACAGATGAAGAGCGAAAACAAGGCTGGAGAGGCTACATCAAACATCATTGGCCAGTTCGGTGTTGGATTTTACTCCGCTTTCATTGTGGCCCAACGCGTGGAAGTGTTTACACGAGCAGCCACTCCAGACGCGCCCGGGCTGCGCTGGTCGACCGACGGCAGTGGCAGCTACGAAATCACAGAGGTCAAGGATGTAGATTATGGCACCAAAATTGTACTTCACCTGAAGACCGACTGTCGTGAATACGCAGATGAGGATCGCATCAAGGCTGTGATCAAGAAGTACAGTAACTTCGTTGGTTCGCCAATTCTGCTGAATGGAAAACAGGCGAATGAGATCAAGCCGCTGTGGCTGTTAGAACCACAGAGCATCAGTAAAGAACAGCATATTGAATTCTACCGCTTCGTCAGCAACAGCTTTGACAGTCCCCGCTTCACGTTGCACTACAATGCAGACGTTCCCATAAGCATTCACGCCCTGCTATACTTTCCCGAGGGTAAGCCGGGATTGTTTGAGATGTCCAGGGAGGGCAGCACAGGTGTTGCGCTCTATACACGCAAAGTTCTCATCCAGTCGAAAACTGAAAACCTCTTGCCGAAATGGCTACGCTTCGTTAAGGGTGTGGTGGACTCTGAGGACATTCCACTGAATCTGAGTCGTGAGTTGTTACAGAACAGCAGCCTCATCCGTAAGCTATCGAATGTTATATCCACTCGCGTCATCCGATTCCTACAGGAACGCGCAAAAAAGCAGCCAGAAGAGTATGAAGCCTTTTACCGTGACTATGGTCTCTTTCTGAAGGAGGGCATTGTCATGTCCAATGACCCTGCTGAGAAGGAGGATATAGCCAAGCTGTTGCGCTTCGACTCGTCCAAGTCATCGGATGGACAGCGCATATCCCTTGATGAGTACTACACTTCGGTCAGCGCGGAGCAGGGTGACATTTACTATCTAGCTGCGCCGAATCGGGTGTTAGCGGAAGCATCGCCCTATTATGAGAGCCTTAAGAAACGCAACGCTCTGGTGCTATTCTGCTACGAACCGTACGATGAATTGGTTCTCATGCAGCTTGGCCAGTTTAAGAACAAGAAACTGGTCTCTGTGGAGAAGGAGATGCGCAAAGAATCCCAGGATGCGTCTAACTTGGCCGACCTGGGAGAGGGCAGCATGTTAAGGTCCGAGCTGGACATCCTGATTCCTTGGCTGCAGGAGCAACTAAAGGGAAAAGTTGCCAAAGTAAAGGCGACGACACGTTTGGACACTCATCCGTGTGTCATTACCGTAGAGGAAATGGCGGCGGCCCGCCATTTTATTCGCACGCAAAGTCAGCATCTGCCCGAAGAGAATCGCTTTGCACTATTGCAGCCAGAGCTGGAGATCAATCCAAAGTAAGTGACAATTCCAGACAAGAAATTGAAGTTCAAATTATGAATTCACTTTTTTACAGACACACAATTATTAAGAAGCTCCACTCTTTAAGAGAGTCCAATCCGGAATTGGCAGAGCTGATATGCAAACAATTGTTTGCCAATGCCATGGTCGGAGCTGGTCTAGCGGAAGATCCCCGCATGTTGCTGACTAACATGAACAACTTGTTGACAAAAGCTTTAGAAAAATACTAAGTTAGGTCCCTAAATTTCCATTTAAAAAAAGTCACATAACTTTTTAATAAATATGTTTAGTTTGTTATATATTTAAATGTTTCTTTTGTACTCGTTAAAATGTGGATAATTAATTTAAAAAACAAAAAAGAAATTAAATAAGGATATATATGTATACATACATACATATGTATGTATTTGTGCATAGAGTTAGCAGTTTGTGTAGCCTTTGTACCCACAAAGGTACGGTAGAGGGGTTTGTGTTAATGGGAATATAATGAAATTGATTAATGTTCATAAAGAAAGCTATCCGAAATTGAACAATTTTAGGAAGCCCTCCAAATTCCCCGGTTTTTCGGAGCCTAAGGCAAAAAATCGTTTGCTTCTAGTAATCATGCCAAAATCGGATTTTTCAAATAAAATTATTTGAAAGTGAGTTTTTAAAAATAATTTTATAATTGGATCTTAAATTTATAAGAATATAAAGTTCGTTTTTTACCCTAATAAATAAAATAATCGTTTTTAATATAAAAATGGTATCGATGGTCCCTGGTTAAGTCGCGTCTCTAGCGTTGCCACATCACCAGAGATCATTCATAAATCGTGACAATGAACTTTTTTCGGGTAAGAAACACCACTCACTACTTCATTGCAGCCCTGTCCCGTGACTAAATTTTATAAAAGCAGCGAGTAAAACCGTTTAAACTCAGTTGTCAGCAGCCAGCCAGTAAAAAACCCCGAGAGAGGCCAGCACGGAGCGAATTGCTTTAAATTAAATTTATAATCACGTGAGTGGAAAAAACAAAAGAAATCATATGAGAAGAAGCTTACACTAAACGACCACTGTATTGCTATTGCTACTGAAAAAAGGCTCGCGTACGAAATTAATTAAATGGGAGGCGGAGACAATAAAATCGTACAATATCCACATATACAACATTTTCTGCCACGACATATGTACATATGTATGTACATCTGTACATACATACTGTACACCTCACTAAAGAGCACGCGACTTTGTGTGCGTGTGCGCCGTGAGCGTAAAATTTCAAATGCAAAATAGAAGACAAAATACAATAAACGTGCAAATTTTTGTATTGTTTGAAATTGAAGTTATTTAAAACTACAGTCCGAAAATGCATGTGACTGTATTTGAGTGATCGAAATTTTCCAGCGCGTTGTCATTGCCAATTTGGCTTTTTTCAACTCATATGAGCTCATTTCGTCATGCGCTCACTCACGCGCACACACACAGCCACATGACATACTACGTAGCGGCTCTCACGAAAAAAATTCTACAATGGCATGAGCCAACTTCGCCGTCGTGTCTCTCGGACTCACTCATAAAACGTACGTTGTCGCAGAAGCAGCAGCAGCAGTGTTGGTCGGAAAAAGCGCAAGAAATTTTTTACATATACATATATTTTATATATATGTATGTACTATAACAAAAATACTTTGTTTCAATTGAACACATAGAAAACGTGCATAATATTAGCCGTGCAAACGCGCAATAAAACGTCATAACAATAAAATAAAGGTGCGACTTTCAATTTTCATTTTGTAGCCTAAAACAAACACAAAAAACAAAGCAAAATGTCTTCAGAAGTAACCAGCTCCGACAACCCCATCTATGGCCCCTTCTTCGGTGTTATGGGCGCATCGTCCGCCATCATCTTTTCGGGTAAGTTTAAATCGACATTTAATTTGTTAAGACAGCCACGCTGCGTGCGTAGAAAAATCGAACATTTTGTGTGGCGTAAAAGGTGTAAGAAGATGAAACAGTCGCTAGCTTGTGGTGGCAGGCAAAGTCGCGCAGAGCGGCGAGTGTAAAAATTCAATACACTCACAAAGCGACATACAGACACACACATTAACGATGTGTACGCGTATGTTTGAATTTTGCTTGCAATGCGCGTGACCAGCAAAACTTCATTTTTTAACCACAAAAGTTAATAAGAAATGGCATTATATAAGTAGTACTCGTTGGAGGTATCATTTTTGGCGACACATTCCAAGTTTAATCAGTTTTAATGCAAAAAAAAATGGCAGCCAAATTCAACAATTTTCAACATGCTAAAAACGGCATACTCATACTCACACAGACTGGCAAGAGATGGAAAGTAAGAGATAGCGAGAGAAAGAGTCTGAAAAGGAATTGCACTCTGCTCTCACACTGTATCAGCAAAGTTACAGTTTTATTGTATGGAGTTTGTGATTGAGGCGCGCTTTTCTACCGCTCTCGCTCTCTCATTCACTCAAGTCACAAGACCAACTTACGGTGTTGCCATACTGAAGTTCAAAGTTTTTTTTTACGTATATACATAGATATGTATGTAAAAATTAACAAAGCAGCAAGTGCAACTGCATGGTCGGGCTTCCGTATGTGTACTTTTGAGTATTTATGGGTTTTTGATGTACGATAGTGTTTGTGTGGGAATGTTTGAAATAACAATAATACACAACGTTTATGCCTCTGCTTCAGTTGCAATGGTCAGTCAGCTGACTGTTTTAATGAATTTGTATCCTCAAGCAACGATGTGCTAGTTTTCCCTTTCCTTTCAATTGTTTATAAACACATGATTTACTAGTGAATGTTCCCTTATCACAGCAATAATCACATGCCTTTCTGCATGATCAATTGTATTTAGGTACCTGTATCACAATGGAATAAGCATCACATGCTACAATTTCATGCCTCTTAATAGCGCTACTTATCAGTCTGCGCTGATAAGAAACTTGCCTTATTTACTGATAAGTTGTTTGATAAGATAACGGCTGCTTAACAGCGCTGGCATGTATGTTGCATAGCTAAGAAAAGCTAAAAAATGTAAACATTCACAGGATGATTATTGAAGTAGCACACGCTGCCTTCGTTCACCCATAAGTCTCGACCAAGGTTTTGTTAGAAGCTTTATTTAAGTAATTTTATCCAATTGCATCTTATTTTGTGATGTAATTATTATGTCATGCACAACGTCTTGTGATTCGCACCCCCACATATAACAGTAAAGCCGACATAATACACACGTGGTACATTTGTTTGTACGTGTATTGCTTCACTTCAATATTTACACGATTACTTAGAATTAACCCTATTGATAATGGCGTCTTTTGACATGACTATATTATTAACTTATTATCATTCACGTTGCTTGGGATTTATGAAATGCTTGGCAACACTGGCGATGTGCTCATGATCGCTCAGAAATGAGTTGCGCTTAACAGTTTAACGGCTCATATGTGTGTATGTATTTTATCCGCAACAATCATTGGTTGCCTTTACTGGCTGACTCACTTGTCGTATCGCAACTACATACTATATGTACTCTATAACAAATGGGCGTTGCTTTTTGTTTATCAACCGCACGCAATGGTGCCAAAGTTGTTATTTATTTTTGGAGTGTGCTTAAAATAATGACGACAAGAATCCTTCACACACACATGCATAAACTCGCGCATCCTCCCATACAATGTTTGACTGCCCTGCGCAAGCGCAGTAGCCAAAATAGTAGCAGATATAGAAAAGGTAGTAGTTACTACACACACAATACGAGGCCATTTAATTATGTAAAAATAAAATATGCTACCGCAAAATTGATATACCAGCACGTGACTAGCTTCTGTCATTCTTTCTATGCTGACTAAAAGCTATCTCATAATGTCCACACGAATCATTCTAAAGAATAAATAATAAATATGCATACGATGCATATGTACATATATACATACATACATACTTACATGTATGAATTTTATGTATGAACTGTTTTTAATAAACACGCTTATAGTTACACCTGGTTATGTAGGTGTGATTGCGTTTGCATCAATGTGTTTTAATCAATGAATAAAATGTCGGGCAGCATGCTTTTTTTGTGAACCTGTAACGCCCTGTGTCTTGCAAGCACGCACATTTATACATATTTACATACATCCACATGCATGAAAATACATAAATACATACATACGCAAATGTAAATAGCCATATTGACGCAAGCAAACTGATTTATCTTATCTTCATTATCTACTACACACTCACAAGTTGTTAGTAATTATAAATTTGAAGGGGATAGGTCGTAGGAAAGTAACTATGCATCATAGCGTGGAGGTGTAATACAATTCAATCCAGTGCCTGCACTGGAAGTGAAAACAGCGAAAGAATACATTGAAAATAGTTAAGCATAATATGTACAAGATATGTATGTACATACATATGTATACATTTGTAGATTGGTGCACATATTAAGTTTGTGCGTACATGTGTACATACACATACATACATTCATACAATCGCTGTTATTCATTATTCTTCTTCTTATTCTTGGCTACAAATGGCAGAATTTATTGATAAGATGTCCCGTTTTTGTTTCTGTTTTACCCGAATAGCCTCTCATTCTTGTCTCGTTTTTCTTTTTGTACTCTCGGCTATGACGCCGCTGAAATTTACTTGCAGTTTTTGTTTCAAACGATATGGAATTTCATTGTATGTATGTATGTATATGTACATACATACTTTCATATGTATGCACATTTGATTTTATATTTGTCTCGATTTTCCCTTCGCATTTTAATCGCAATATTCATGTGTATGTTGCTAAAATTGTGCTGCTTTGTCGTTTGCTGTTTTTAAACTTTCTTGTTGCTTCCTCTTGCTTTGAGCTCGCCCACACAAACGTCTGCCAATCGTCTGTCTTTTAATATATAATTACCTGCTAGTGTAAGTAAATATATACACTGAAACCCCAAACAAATGAGTCAAACAAAATTTACGCAATTTAAATGTAGGACTTATACTTATTAAACAAGTGTTGCTTTATTTCAGTGAATTTTTATTTTTTACATACTTTATACATATGTACATCTGGATGTAAAAATGTATGCACAATTTGATGACGAATTACTGTTATCTTTTATTTATTGCAATTGAATGGGAATGCGGGGATCTTTTATTTGCTTGCGTACTTACATATGTACATACATACATACATTTATGTGTTTCAAAAACACCTGTTTAGAGAAACCAATCAAGCAACTACATATATAAATGTTGGTTGGTTTTATTCATGCTATCCAGGTAAATGGACCAAGCCTAGTAGTTAGCTTAATCTTTCATGGGAATCAATTTGGTCATTTTTTTAGGCCTTTACTTTTCCTGGAAATTTGCATGTATATTTAATATGCAATAATATGTAAAAGTTCTTATGTTAACTGATACGTAATGCTCGGTTATGTGCAATGCATTGTATTATTTTCCACTTATTTAATATCAATTATATGTTAGCCCCATGTATAGAATAATAGTTAATTAGCATTAAATCACATGACTGTACAATGTCGTGGCAACAGCAGGAGAGACTGTATTTGAGTTATCACGCTCTTCTCTTCTCTTGAGCGAACAAATGACAGCTAACTCACAAAATCGCCCGCTCTATTGCGTTTGTGAATACACCCATATGTTTTGAGCTACCATTATTGCTGCTATTTCAACATTTATTATTGTGTGTGTTTTCCATTCGATTTATTAGCGGACACAATACATGCGCAAACAGCAAACACACACGCACTGCCACATCAGTACGTTTAAGCAAAACAAAAACCATTGACCGTCATATGAAACTGGTTTTATATTTTAATTTATAAATATTATTTGTGCGGGTTTCACTGTGGTTGTATAATTCACCGATCATGTACGAGCCACATTCAAAACCAAATCTATGTTGATATATCCACGGCCTCTCACACGTACATACACTAACTGCAATTCTTACTACTTACCCTTATCAAAAATGTTTAGACTATTTAGGAGCAGGGGAAGGGGGTCTTACTGACTGGTGGAGCTGAAGCTTTTGTTGTTGTGGCTTTGCTACGTATGTAGACGAAAAAAAACTCAGTCATGTGACTGTAAACGTTACGTCGTCGTTGCTAACAGTTTTTATAGAAGCTTCCAGTTGAAATGTTAATACACAGTGTTTGTGCATGTTCTGTAAATATGTACGTATATTGTACATAAATATGTAGCTTTACATGTCACTTGTGTATCCAATGTTTGGAGCAGATAATATTTGGAAAACAGCAAAATTGCTCTTAAAACCGATTCTGATCAACAGAGAAACAAATCTAATAATCGCTCTTATGTGAGAATCAATGGGTTTCCACTTATAATGCCACCAAATGAAGAGTTATATAAATAGTTTTGTAATCACATATGCTTGTACGTACGTTCTTTGGTATCTAACTAATATCTTTTATTTTGCAGCACTCGGCGCAGCTTATGGCACTGCTAAGTCTGGTACCGGTATCGCTGCCATGTCAGTGATGCGTCCCGAACTGATCATGAAATCCATCATTCCTGTTGTCATGGCGGGTATCATTGCCATCTATGGTTTGGTTGTCGCTGTGCTCATTGCTGGTGCGTTGGAAGAGCCCTCAAAGTATCCCCTGTTCAAGTGAGTATAAGATTGGGATGATCTTTCTTAACCTGGTTATATTCTGATGATTCATTTCAACAGGGGCTTTGTACACTTGGGCGCCGGTTTGGCGGTGGGCTTCTCCGGCCTGGCAGCCGGTTTCGCGATCGGTATCGTTGGTGATGCGGGTGTGCGTGGCACAGCACAACAGCCAAGACTGTTTGTCGGCATGATTCTGATTCTCATTTTCGCCGAAGTGTTGGGTCTCTATGGCTTGATTGTGGCCATTTACCTGTACGCGAAATAAATCAATCGCCCACAACAACAGCAAACAGCAAACCGACAAACAGCCCAGCAATCGGCAATAAACAAAAGCAGGTAGAACAACAACGCCAACCGGCAACCACACCCCACCATCAGCACTCACCCATTCACACATTGTGCAGCAGTAGCAGCAGCAGCAGCAGTCCTGGCGATCGGTGCCTGTATCAGCTTTAGGTAGACTTCGAGCAGTGCCGTTTGTATATAGCAAAAACAACAACAAGAACAAAAAAAACAATTTCATATTCACTGTATCTGCATCTGCGGATTAGTGCTGGTGTGTGTTGCCACATATTTGGCATGCAAATGTTGTCCGCCATTTGCTGGTGCATTGTTCGTTCAGTTTAGTTTTTATTTTCCGTTCAAATCTGTCAATCAATTTGCAGTTAAGTTCATAAAGTTGTACATTTCTTATGATTTACTTTTCAATATCAAGATTTTCTCTTTTTATTTTGCGCTCCACTTTGTGTGCTCTTTGTTATTTGTTTTTCCATTATTATTATTATTATTAAATAATGTTTAGTGTATATGTAAAATTCGTTAACTACAAGAAAAGCTGTAAAAACCAACAATTGTCAAACAAAACAAGTAATCTTTGTAAATTTGCATATAAATGCTGCAACAAATTAAGCGGAAAGGGCCAAACAACAAAATCACTCACAACAACAGCAACAACATCTACTGCAACACTGAAAACAATTAGCATCTCAGCTTTCCCAGCTGTTTGTTGATTGTTTTTCGGTCGCTTGTTGTGAGTTTTGGCAATACTTCAACAACAGCAACAACAACCAACTACATACAATCATACACACACACACACACAAACACACACACACACACATGCATACAAAATGTAACTAAGTCCTATGTTTATTTTTAATTATTGTTCAATTCTAAGAATAATATATTAAAAATTAATAATAATAATAAATTATATATATATATAATTATGATTTTTTTGTGATAAGAAAATTCATAAAAATGGTAATACAAAAATTACGGTATTGATATAAATATACATAATATATACATATATATATATAAAGCAAGAAACAGAAACAATTATACATATTAACATGAAAAAGTTGTTATAAAAACGAAACGAAAACAAATCAAGAGCAAGTAATACAACAAACGTAAAACACACAATTTTTCCGCTGTTATTGTATAGTAATGAAAATGCAAATAATTATATATATTATATATAAATATATTATGTATAAAATATTAAAAGAAAAGAATGTAGTAGCAAAATTATAAAACAACAAACACTACTAAAGTCGTGCAAGCAAAAAACATAGACGAAAAAGTTGCAAGAAACTCATGAAACAAAAACATACGAAAAATCCAACAAAAAAATTGTAAAATCCCAACAAATTAGAAGTTATTCTACAACAACATCATTTCGATCTGCATAGCACTATCAACCTATAGCAACAATAAATTTGTAAATAGCGCACCACATCGCTCTCTACCCCCCGTAAGCGGAGCCTGCCCCTCAGGCGCCGATGCATTCATGATGCTGAGAATGCGGAGGCGTCTGACTCGTGCAGCGCTACGCTTGCGGTAGACAGCGACGCCCTGCGTCGTTTCGACCATCACAATTCTCCACAAATGCTACAAAATATGCACAAAAAACCACAAACAAAACATATAGTATTGACTCTTGCCATAACCGGCCCACACACCGTTAAAAAACAAACAAACGACTAGAAATGAAAAGTTGCAGCGCCTGTGTTGTGTTCGCTTTTTGTTAAAAGGCTCATATGATTATGTTTTGTGTGGCCGGTTATATTTGTTAGAGTCGACGTATTATGTGGAGAGTTGTGACGATTTTTGTTGCTATTTGTTTTAAGTTGCCTTCCAACAACAATATGCGAACGAAAGGTTTAGAAAAACTGTAACTGTGTATTCGAACAACATCAAAACAAGCAAACCAACAACAGACATTGTATGAAATAAATTGTAATTTCTAATTTCCAAAAAAAAACTATCTGGTTGTTCATTATTTGTGGTTCCATGAGCGGGCGTGGAGGTTTCAGGAATATCATGTTTTTAGGCATATACTATAGAGTGGTCTGTGTAGTGCATTATTTTTAAATACTTAAGAAAAAACATTTTTTCGGTGTATTATTAGTTTATTTTCCAAGACCTTGGTGACTGTTTCTGGCTGCCTTTCTCGTTGGATGGCTCGATATTCCCCTTAAAAGCACGAACTGTTCATGGATGTTATGTCATGTTCGCATACCATACGGCGTCAAATCGCAGCTCCGAGATGTCCAGTTGACCACGCCAAGAATGCTGATAGCAAAATATCGATTGTGGCGTATCGCGCCATCCTGCTGAAAACAAAGATCGTCCAAGCCTCTTTCTAGCGGGAAAGAGCTATGCACAAAATGCCATTTCGTGCAATATTCCAGAATAGGTAAGGACGAAACGAAGTTAGATATTATTAACACCTTCCTCTCACCCCCCTCCCTCCTACCATGTACATCTGTAACCATACTGGTCTTTCCTCTGACTAAATCGTAATATTACGCTCTCAAATATACTATATACTCGTATAATCACATGTAAGCGATACTAACAAACTAAAGTAGGTTTTAGGAAATCACCCTAAGATTTACATGAGCATAACGTTTTGCAGAGGCACCATCAAGAGTGCGTATAAATAACAGCGCAGACCCCAAATGCCTCGGACCCCTCGGACAGCACAGGCATTTTAAGTTCAATACTCAAGTGAGTTGTAAGTTCAGGAATCAGCTCAGCTGTAAGCAATAGGACTATTCCAGAAACTTCTCCTCAATTTCTGGATAAGTTATATAGGTTTTAATAGACTGTACCCAAAGGGTGAAAATGTATGTTATACAGAAGGACGCGTGGCAGACCCCACAAAGTATATATATTATTGATCAGGATGGCAAGGCAATTCGATATAGCCATGTCCGTCCGTTTGTTTGTATGAGCGCAAAATATCAGGAAGTGCAAGAGGTAGAATAACCATCGTATGGTAACCATACCACCATAACCACCATGGTATCGAGGTTCCCCTAAATCCGAGGCAGATGAAGTTTATTTTTTTATTCTGATACATCCCCACTCCCCCGCAATTCGTGTTTTTTTATAACACTCATAATTCTTGGAATTTTGAAATCAATTTTGGTAGTTACATCCAGTCTTACATCATGTACCAGTAGGGCAAAAAGGGTATATTAGGTTTGTGCATAAATTCCTGCTGAATCGGTCTGTCATAATGAACCTTGACATACGGACACATAATCACTTACTGGGCGTATTTTCAAAATTCCAAGAATTATGGGAGCTATGGATGATGAGTCATCTTGGAATAAAATTTGGTGCTCCTAGTCCCTATAGTCCCCGAGATAAAGGCGAATATACGAATGGCGTTACGGAAAAGCCCCCACAGGGGGAAGTGGGGGGGGGGGGAATCCAAAAATAAAACAAATTTGTATAGCGTACATACACAAGGCATCTTTGTGAAAAATTTGGTGTCTCTAGCTCTTATAGTCTCTAAGATCCATAAGATTCACACGGGCAGACAGACAGGGCTACATCGACTTGTCTTGTCATGCTGATCAAGAATATACAGTCGAATCTCTTTAATTCGAATCTCGAGGGTTCTTTAAATATTACGAATTATCGAGTGTTTGAAATATCAAATAGTTCGAAATTTGTGAGAGAAAATAAATAAAACTTCGAATTATTAGGTATTGATCAATAATTATTTATTAACTGCTATTCTACCTGTACGTTGATACATGATTGAACTTATCGCAAAATGTACTTACATACAATATTTTCGCCTCTTTCTCTATGCAACTTTGAATTATCGAGTGTAGGACGTCGACGAGTTCGAATTATCGCGTCGTTTTGTTATTTAGCAATGATTTTTTAGTTCGAATTAGCAAGTGCACAAAAATGTATTGATTTAGTTCGAAATATAAAGAGATTTTGTAGGGAACTCGTGATAACTTTGAATTATAGAGAGGTTCGAATTATGGCAGGTTTGAATTAACGACAGTCGACTGTATATACTTTGTGGGGTCTGCCACGCCTCCTTTGCCTGCTACATTTTTCAGCTCGCGCAAACCTAATATACTCTTGTACAAAATCAGAGATCGCATTACTTTTGCTAAAAGACATTTAGTGCGAGCAAATTGGAAAACAGTGATTTGATTTGATCAGACGAGAAAGCTAACTTTGGCAAGGCGCCCCAAAAGTCAAGGTCTTCTTCCGGAATACCCAATAAAAACTATTAAGTATGGTGGTGTCAACATAATGCTATAGGGATGTTATTCCTTAAAGGTATTCCTCGTTGGCTTAATATTTCGGTTTAAGGACGAAATCTGCGCTAAGGATATACTTAAAAGCATATTGCTTCCATATTCGGAGGAAGAATGCCGGTAGTGTGGGATTTTTTCAAGATAATGACCTCAACACACTTCGCAGCTTGCAAAAATTAGGTTCCAAAGGTTCTTTGATAGAACAGATTTCACAATTATCCAACCTAAATCCCATAATGCACCTATGGGGGATATTAATAAAGAATATTTTTGGGCTTGAATCCAAAAACAAAGACAATTTATGGCAAACAAGATAGAACGCTACAGTCGAGCAAGCCCGACAGTAAAATAGCCTGTACTCTCCACAAAAAGGAAAAAATTGAAAAAAAAAAAATTTTAAACAAATTAAATTATTAAAAAAAAACAAGTAAAAAAGCTAAAATCGGGTGTCCCGACTTTGAAATACTCTGTACATATGTTTACAATAATTATAGAAAATAAAAAAATTAAGAAAAAAAAAAATTTGATCGATTTTACCTCTCTCGGTATTCGAACTCACGTAAAGGGTGTATAATTGCACATTTACATAGCAATTGCGTCTGTGTGAGTGTATGTATGCCTATGCGCATCTATTCGTGTCTGTGTAAGCATTTTCGCAGTCAACCAAACAGCAACATCAACAACAGCCGCGGGCAGCGTTTGAGCAGCGCTGCAACAGCGCTGCATCAGCAAATATATTTATGGCTATAACTTCTTGGTAAATCGGTCTATCATAGTGAAACTTGGCATACGGACACATAGATACTAACTGGGGGTATTTGCAAAATTTTAGTTCGAAATTCCAAGAATTATGGGAGTTAAAGAAAATAGCATTTGTGGGGGAGAGGGAGGGAAATTCCAAAATATACATTTTCTGCGTATTCACACAAGGCATCTTGGACTAAAATTTGGTGTGCCTAGGTCTTATAGTCTCCGAGATATAGGCGATTTTACGAATGGAAAAACGGGAAAACCCCCATAGGGGGGAAGTGGGGGGAAAATCAAAAAAATAAAACAAACTCGTATAGAATACACACAACGCATCTTTGTGCAAAATTTGGTGTCTCTATCTCTTATAGTCGCTGAGATCCAGGTGTTCATACGGACGGACAGACAGACAGACAGGGCTAGATCGACTCGTCTTGTCACGCTGATCAAGAATATATATACTTTGTGGGGTCTGCCACGCCTCCTTCTGCCTGTTACATTTTCAGCTCCCGCAAACCTTATATACCCAGATATACATACATAGTACATTTCATGTACAGAGTATAATGAATGAATGAATTAATTAAAATAATTAATTAAATTAAATTAGAATACATGTTTATGTTCAGTTTTAACAGCATACATTTACATCACGTACCTATGCGTGTTTATATGCGTGTATGTATGCAGCACAAAGTTGAACAAAAGCAGCAACAACAACAGCTGCGGGCAGCGCTGCCGACAGAGCTGCAGGCAGCGCATGAGCAGCGATTTTACTTATGGCTATAACTTTCTTCAGAATTGACCTATCATGATGAAATTTGGCACACGGACACATTAGTACTAACTGGATGTACCTACCAAAATTGATTTTAAAATTCCGAGAATTACGGAAGTTATAAGAAAAAATACGAATTGCGGGGGGTGTATCAGAAAAAATAAACAAACTCGTTTTGCTTAGGGCTTATAGGAACCTTGATACCAATTTTGGTTACCCTAGCTCTTGTACTTACTGAGATCCTTGCGCTCATACAGACAGACAGACAGACGGACATGGCTATATCGACTCGTCTTCTCATCCTGATCAAGAATATATATACTTTGTGGGGTCTGCCACGCCTCCTTCTGTGTGTTACACACATGCGCCTTTCACCCTTTGGGTACAGGCTATAAAAATGCAGAATTTATGGAATGTCCCACAGAAGCTTTCAAAAATCATGGTGGCAAAATAGATGGTTGCTTTCTTGGAATTAAAAAGCTTATCTTTATTTAAATTTAAACATGTAATCTGATGAATATTTAGTAAAAATAGTTACTTAAAAATCAATTTTTATGGAAGAAAATTTGTTCATTTCTTTCATTTTTTCCATTACTGTATATTCTTTATCAGCATGACAAGACGATATGGAAATGTTTGTCTGTCTGTCCGTATGAACACAAGGATCTCAGAAAGCACAAGAGCTAGAATAACCAAACTTTGTATCCAGATTCTCCTTTTTGTTTTTTTTTCGCCCCACTCGGCTATTAGTGATTGTTCATAACTCCCGTAATTCTGAAAATTTTAACTCAAATGCGGCATACTTGTATAACTATCCTCTACAATAAGTAGCAGATTTGTTTATCTGCAGGATAAACGCAATCCCGATGAAATTAATGAAATAAGTTAATTTAAATTAAAAAATTGTGTATGTACATAAATTTTTTTCTAGATGGCTGCATGGTATATACGAGTTAGGCCTGATCAACTATAGCCTTCAATTTTTGTTACTGATAGCGTCATAATAATTGCTTATAATTAGTTAAATACAGAGTTAGTAGGTATGGAAATATTCGACTTGAGAAATACTTTCTGGGTCAAATATATATTGATGAAGAAGAGGAGGAAATTCAAGAAAATTATGCCGTTTCTGTACAGCAATTAGCAAATTTATCAGTATGCCTTTTCGCAGTGAATGCTCCGTAGAATTGCGGTCGACATAAATCATTTGTTCTTCCTGGCCTGGCTATAAATGGGATAAGAGCTCTCAAATATTCGAATCAAGTCTACAAGATCGGATAAAGTCAACACTTTTACATTGATAGAAACACCATTAAGGCTACCAAGGTACTCCATGTCGGTGACGTTGGAAAACCTCGATTTCCAATACATACCTAAAACTTAAGAGGCAACTCGCATGGACCGATTAGAGAATAAAAAGTGCCGACATGTTCCTTCAAACACACTTACCCAGAAGTTTCATGCCAAAGAAATCGTTGGCTTTAAGGTGAGCACAAGTTATTGGATAGAGAAAAGATAGAGTGCTCCAAAGTTTCCAATATGAATGAATGAATGAGACCGTTGGCTTTTCAATACTTTTTGCAGTTTTCTATATTTTTTCTCAGCGTTTACATGTTCTGTTCTGTTTGTTTGTTTTGTATTACATGCTAGATGGTGTATATGTAGAGTTAATATATAATTATGTTAATATGTATAATGTCCTTTTGATTACATTAGTTACAATTTACTTGACTGCTTCCTATGCGCCGCGCACTCACACTTTCTGGGCTGGGCTCGCTAACTGAGTTTTAACAAATTAGCATCTTAAATGGGTTGTGCTTGGCGAGCGTTTTGGGGGCGTTACACAATAAATTTTTGGTTGCTGAGACATGCGATATTGCTATGGATTGAAATAGAGTTTGTCATCTTTTTAGATTTGAAATACAGTACCAATGCAAATACCAATACCTACAAAAATGTAAATGATTAATTGTTAATTTATTAAAGCAGTTTTGTTATTTTCATTTGTTAATATGTGGGTACTTATTTGTTTAATAAATATTCGCTTTCGCATTTCTATAGCCTTGCCTATTTACAAAAACAAATTATATGAAAAATGCAGCGAGGGCAGAAATTGTGAAAATTTTAGAAACAAAACGATAGATAGACCATGGGTAAGGGTCAGGGTAAGAAAATTTGCATGGAAGATATCATTTCAGAAGAGGGGCCTATAGAAATAAACAGCAGTAACTGAAGTGTCGACTTCTAAGGAATGCCTACCCTCTATAATATTCAAAAATATGTACTTTCATTCTTATACATACATATACATTAATGCTTATATGATTTTAAAAAGGTTTATTTTGTATTTTTTCGTAGTTTTACTTTCTCTGAATTTTGTTGTATACTTTCCCTTGTTGTGCTGAAATTTCAATGTTTGCCAACAGCTTATTGTTTGTATATATATCTGTATATGTGTATGTATATATGCTGTTCACTTTTGGTTTTAGAAAACTTGTCTCGAAAATTTCTTACGTTCTCATTTACATTTTTACGCTTTCAAAATTTGAGGTAGTTTTTTATTTTCATTTTATTTTTTTGGAATTTGAATTCTTTGACTTTTGTTTGTTGCGCGTTTACGTAAAAATACTGGAACCTGAACTTCTTTCGAAAGTCTTTGTAAACCCAAACGATTGAAAGTAAAAGCATACATACATGTGCATACGAGCATGTACATACATATGTATGTATGTATGTATGGTGTGGAAAAGATCGAGCACGGCTAGCCCTTCCAGCTCCACTCGACTTGTTGATTGTTGTAAAGTATTGCTTTGAATTATAATCGTATAGGCATAAACTACAGATGTCCATTCCGATCTATAAAACGTATAAAGGCAGTAGCTACTAAGTATAAACAGGATATATAAACAAACATGTACATATGTATGTATGTATACATACTATATAGAATTGGCCTGCTATCGTAAAAAAGGCAGCAAATGAATTGTTTATGTTCAATTCGAATCCATCACTTGTCACACTTATTCAACATTTGTCAACAATTTTAGAGATTCGCGCCGCTCGTTTTTCCTTCTTTGTTTCTCACCTACAACTGTATGTTTGTGTGATATATAGGGTATATATGTTTATATGCATATAGCTATAGCTATAGCTATGTATTAATGCATTTATAGAGTATGTGTTTGTATACAGGTTCCCGCTACACGCTTAACACTAATTCAAATAATAGCCTTAATTCATTCCTTTGAATCAAATCGTCTTGGTTCGTAACTGATTCCCAAACGGTTCTTAACCGGTTAAGATGCGAGCACATAAATAGATGCAACTAAGCGATTGTTTGTTCGTGTACATATGTATGTATGTAGAATGTAGGTATTTAATTGGTTAAGACGCAGCTACTCTAGACAACACACAGATAGATACAAGATTACATACATATAGTATATGGGAGTTATGTTTTAAAGTTCCTTGTGGCGACAAATTTGCGTTGTTTTGTTTTTGTTTTTGTTTTTTTTTTTTTGTACCTCATAACATATTCGTATTTATATTTTGCTTGCACAATGCTAATACATACATATGCATATTTGTAGCACTGGAAAAGTTAGCTCTTTAAAGATATCAGTCGTTCTTACAGAAACATAAAACGGGGAAAACGCTTGTCCGTCCATATCATATCGATCATAACATTTTTGGCAGTGTTGAGTACTTTTACGGATTTCATTACTTAACTAACAGTATATAGTACATATGTATGTATTTATATAGCGCCCGTTTTTGCAAGTGCGGATGTTGTGTTTGTGAGAAAAATAAAAATACATTCTTATAAATATTACTAGAGTTAAGGCCATTTCGACACATTTACATCGCAAGTGTACAACATCGATTTCGCAAGGAAAACAAAAAGAAAATAAAACGAAAACGGATTGTAAACATGATTGAAAGTGATTTTATTGCTTGTTTAAAGTGATTTTTACTATTTTGAAATATCCTCCTTCTAATACTAGTTCTAAATGATACAGGCTGTGGTATTTTGTTTTAGTTGTAAATTGAATTTATGTAAATACTAAAATCAAAACTATGTACAAAATGAAACAAACACGACACGACGCGCTCGAAATGTTTGCAATTGAACTAAAAATGATGAAAGGTGAATGCATAGGTCGAACTTATCAAGGTATAAGGTTTGCATTGCTGTTCAGTAATGAGTTGTTCGAAACTAAAAGAGTAAGAGTAAGTAAATAGCGCTAAGTCCACATAACATTTAACACATAACACGTACTCATACACATGCATGCCTGTGTATGTAAATGCTTCAAGTCTTCTGCATTCGCGTTCGCATTTGCTTTGTGCGTTTGTTTGTTTGTTTGTTGATTGGTTGGTTCGTTCGTTGATTGGAAGTTGCAAATGGTGCCAATATTATAAATTTAGCAAAACCTTTCCATTAATTAAAGAGAAGGGCAACAAAAGCACAGTTGGACAATGATTGAATATACATATACATAAGTACATCATTTAGTGATCGATTTCGGAACAAGTCTTGTCTGCGGCAGTTCACAATTCATATGCAACTTAAACAACTAAATAAAATTAGACTTAAACTTCTAAATTAATCGGCTAGATGACGTAATTACTTGTTCAGTGTCTTGCTAGTTCGTCTGAACGCGCGGGTGGGTTTTGCGATAAGGTGGCCGTCACTTTTGCAACTCAAGGCGGCTAAATCTATAAATCTATAAATGTGTGTGTGTATGTATGAATGCATGCACGCTTATAGTTCTAGTCTACACATATAAATAATTGGCTGATATTGTATGTACAACTGTTGATGTGCATTTGCTTTTGCATGTGTGTGTGTGGGTGTGGGTGTGCTTATAAATTCTCTAAAACGCCTGACAAATGATTATGAAGCGAATGAATGGGCTTATCTATATGTTACACAAATGGCTCTTACATTCATAGATGCGTGAAAGCACTAACATAGGTTGAAGAACTAAAATTATATATGTACGTAATGCTACTTGTCACTGTTTACTCGTTTGTCCGTTCCGTCTTGTAAAATAGACGCTAGAAAATACTTTGGAGTGGCCTTGTTACATGGGCACCAGGGCATCTGTGGGCACCAGCAGCTCCACCGGCGAGCTTGCAGCAGACTGTGGCGGCTTTTGCGGCTTGCGTGAATGCTTGCGACGTTGCTGCATCTGCAGCTTGGCAATGGTTAGCACCTGCTGATAGCTGGACCCGGTTCCGCTGCTGGTGCTGACCGTTGCCCGCTCTTCAGCCTCGTCATCGTCATCGTCCTCATCCCCCGAGGCATCCTCCTCCTCCTCCTCTTGGTCATAGTCGCTGCCATCGCTGAGGCTGTAGTCGTCAGCGAAGAGTTGTGCATCGTAGCGCAGCTTGAAGGCAGTGTTTAGGAGACTGTCGACGCGCGTCTTCTCCGCTGGACGCATATGCTTGATGTGCAGCACTTTTGTGTGTTGGCGTATCTGATTCGGACACTCGGGCATCCACTCGTCGGAGATGCTGTGAGGGATTCAAGGAGAACCTTTAGTTGAATTCTGCACCTTTGCGGCCTAAGTGGTGTTTACTCACATTTCGCGCGGGGACCAGCGCACGAAGCACTCGTAGCATCCTTGGCTGTTGCGCCGCCGCATCAGACACTGGCCTTGGAAGGTGATTGCCTGGGTCCCATTAGTCAGCGTGCTGATCTGACGCAGACGATGCTGCAGGCCCTCCATTATGCCGGTGTCGAAAAAGTCGAACATGCGAGCTGCAAATCGGAATGCGGAATGAGGAATGTTATTCGCTGTTCAGAACTACAAGTAATTCTACAATTTGGGCAACCAACCTGAGAAGGGTTGGCGGCGATAGCGCAGCTTCTTGCCATTCTTGCGCAGCTGCTTGGGTACGGGCGGATCGGAGGTTCGTTTGCTGGTGCTCTCCTTCGCATTGTCCGTCGCATTGAAGTGGTTGTTCACATGCTTCTGCAGCGCCAACTGTGGATAAATGGGAGTGAAAGGTCAACATGGGGGTCATCTCAAAGAAAACTTCAAAGAGGTCATAAAGAAACATTGTTATTGTCCAGTTAATGTGTTCTTTGAATACTAAATATACATACAACTAATCTACGATTGGAAGTCAATAAGATGCTAGAATGCAAAACACACACGAACAAACAAATGATAAAACAAGAAGAAACTAAAAATAAGAAGCGTATAATAGAGTCCTTTTCAGATTAATCTAGGAACCTTTAACGTGTATCCCAATAGCCTGCGACTCCTGCCTTGGTAGGCATTGCTGCATTCTATAACTTAATTCTTCTCCTTGCTTCAATGATGGGCTTCTCAGGACGATCTATTCTTTTCTCTAGCGTTCTAGCTGTCTAGTTTCCATACATTTTACCGAGAAATGCTCCTATGTTTGAAATTCAAAACACAATTAAAGACGTTCTAAGCAATTACAGTTAAGACAAATCTTGTTCGAAATAGTTTTTTACTTTTTAAATAGTTCTCTTTTAATTCCATTACCCCATTCGATTCGTGACATTTTACAAACAAAACAGCCCATGATTGTACGACAAAGCCGAAATCCATTCATAAACATTGAACATCTGTCTCATGACTGATATCCGCCGAAGCAAGGACTTAAGCTACATACGCGGCCTGTCAGAAGGTATTGTGAGTCTGAGAGTGTTGTGTGGAAGATTTTCTAATACCTTATTGACCCGCCTTAGATACAAGGGCGAGTCTAATACAGACGATGTTTTCACTTACCTGAGAACCAAAGCGTAAACCGCAGCCTTCGACAATACACTTGAACTGCTTGGATCCGCCATGCGAGAGCACATGACGTTCCAGCCAGCGACGCGAGCAGGACTCCTTGTTGTAGACTTTGCAGCCCACCCAGAGGCAGGCAAAGGGGCCGGTCTGTGTGTTCACGTGGTGCGTTTGCATGTGGTCCAGTAGCTTGGAGTTGCTCTCATGCTTCTTGTTGCACTTGTCCCAGTAACAAACGCCGTCGTGCCGCTTCGCCCCCTTGGCGTTGGCCCCGGCCCCGGCTGGGAATCTGATGGTCTTCGGCTGCGACAAAATGGGCGAAATAGCACTCTTTGGCAGCGTCTTGCTGGCGCTCTCAGCCAGCATCGTGTCCACTTCCGTTGTAGTGGTTGTGCTGCTGCTAGAGCCGTTCGGCGTGGTTAGGGTGATGAGGCAGAGCGGAGTCGCCGGCGCCGAATTTAGAGAGGAGGTCGAGCTCTCATCTGCGATGTTGCTGGACGAGGCAGGTGAGGGTGCATTGCTGGCTATGGAATTGCTGTCGGAGACGATGCTGCCGCCAGTCGTCGGAGTGGAGTTCGCGCTGCTGCTGCATTCGGAATCTGCTGGCGAGACGCTCGCATGGGCATGCGTGGCCACTCGGCACGATTTGTTGGAGCTGTGTAGGAAGATAATTCAATGAGAATAATTAAGTAAATAATATATTTAATGGAATGGTTTTCCAAGAAACCCATTCAACTTACATGGCATCCGCAATCGAGTTGCTGCTCTCGCTGTTGCTTAGACTGCCCCCAATGCCGGACTCTGGAGTTGGCAAATCCCGTTTGTGCGTTTGTGCCTCCGACGAGGCCACCGATTTGTCGTCCTCCTCGTCGTAGTTGCTGCTGTTCTCACCGCTGGAGGACCCTGGCTTGGTGGGAATGGAAGGGGGTGGTGTGGCCGACAGCTGAGCCTGCGTTTGGGAGCAGTCCTCGGCAACGCTGCTGTTGCTGCCACTGCTGGAGATGCACGAGGAGGTCACGAGCTCACTGAGCATGTCCGTTTGGCTGGCGGCGCGCGTGTTGCTGCTCGTCTGCGAGCTGGAGGCGGGCGATGGGGCCGGAGAGGCCAAAGAAGCCGCTGAACTGAGCGATGCTGGTGTGGATGCCTCCAACGACAGATCCGCCGCGGATGAGACCGAGTTGGAGTAACTGCTGTACGAATTGCTGTTGCTATTGCTGCAGTCGTGAGTTGGCGTCATCTGTTGCTGCTCGGGAAGCTCGTGCTTGATGGAATCACGCGGAGGCAGTTGGCCCGCAAAGCTGTGCGGCTTGGGCGTGGACAACGCACTGGCTGTGGGCATAAGGGCGGGCGGGGGCGTAGACGTTGAGGCAGACTGCGTATCCTCCATGGGCTCCGACTTAATCTTCCCAAAGGCGGACAGCGTGCAGGACGTTGATGAGTTGGCGGAGAGCGCCGGCGAAGAGCGCAGGGGAGACGCAGCGGAGGCGCCCAGCGAATTCTGCGAGTTGCTGGGCGAGCTGTAGGGCAGTGGCGTTAGCTGCACAGCCTTGGCAGTGGGTACGATGCTGATGGCGCCATTGGAATTTTTCACCAAATCGAAAAGGTCGGGCGAGTTGCTGTTCGTCACTTTGGTCTGACTGTTGTTGCTGGTCCCGCTCGGTTGCTTCGAAAGGCTGATGGTGGGGGTTAGCTTGGCGGGCGCGATGCTCACCAATGGAGGCGTTGGGGTTGGGGTCGTAACGGGCGTCGTGCTCTTGCGCAACTGAGTTAGCTCTTTGGTGGCGGCTGCCGATGTGGGCACCAGCGGAGGCGGTGTGGTGGGCGTGGCAATGATTTTACTTCCAACCGCGGGATATTTGGGTTTGCAGCCTGCTTGTCCAGCAGACTTGTTGTTGCTTCCGCTTAAAGGTCGCTTCTGATAAGGTTTGGTCAAGGCGGCAGGCTTTACAACATTGCTCCCGACGCTTCCAATACTCGGAAGTGCTCGCGGCTTAGCATTCGAGATGGTAACCAGTGGTGGCGGCTGCGATTGGCTGTGGTGCAGTGGCGCATGTGTGGCCTTCACAATTGCCAGCTTGGTGGCTCCCTGTTGTGGTTGCTGTTGTTGTTGCTGCTGTTGATGTTGCAGCGCTATGGCAGTGTTGCTGTTGCTACTTAGAGTATTCGAGGTGTGGTTGTTGCTGTTGCTGGCAGTGCTGGTGCTATTGTTGTGATTGCTGCTGGCAGCCACCGCAGACAGAGGCGGCGGTTGAGTGGCAGAGATGAGTTGTTGTTGTTGTTGTTGCTGCTGCTGCTGCTGCTGCTGCTGATGTTGCTGATGTGCAAGAACGAGCTGTGCCAACTGTTGTTGCTGCATCTGCAACTGTTGCTGTTGTTGCTGCTGCTGAAGTTCTGTAGCAGCCTCGGCTCCATGTTGTTGTGGAGGTGGTGGTGCGAATATCGAGCTGAGCGCTGGAATGGGCTGCAGGGCGGGCAGAGCCTGTTGCTGTTGTTGTTGCTGCTGCTGCAGAGCGACGGCTGCAGCAACTTTTTGCTGCTGATTGTTGGCTGCAAAAGCCGCAGCTTGCGCAAACATGGCAGGCAGAGTCGCTGTGTTCAGCAGCAGCCCAGCAGGCGTGGCCATGAAGACGGGTTGGGCAGCAGCTGCGGCTCCTAGACGCTGCAATTGCTGCAGTTGTTGCTGCTGCTGTTGAGCAACCACTTGCTGTTGCTGTTGCTGCTGATTGGCAGCAATGGCTGCTACGATTTGCTGCTGGAACAGTTCTTGAAAGTTTGGTGTGGCGTTGGACACACCTTTTTGCTGTTGCTGCTGCTGTTGCTGCTGAACGGCAGCAGCCTGTTGTTGCAACTGCACCTGTTGCTGCTTAAGCAGCAGCTCCTGCAGCTCGACAGGACTCATCAGGCCGAAGGGATTGCCCGCCGTGGCCGCCGCTGTTGCAGTAGTCGCCGTTGTTGTTGTAGCAGTCGTGACCTGCTGCAGCTTGAAGACAGTGCCATTCAGGAAGTACTGGGCAGCAGCAGCTTGGGCCGCCGCATTGTTGCTGACGGCAGCAGCAGCCGCAGCCGCTTTGTTGAGTTGCATTATGTTCGCTCCGCTAGCAGCCAGAAGTTGAGGAAGTTGGACTAGATTCGGCAGAACAGGCAGCTGGTATAGAGTGGGACTGGCGGGCGTTGCTGCAGCGCCATTGCTGGGAGCCCCTACTGCAGTAGTGGCTGAGACCGGTGAGGGGGCGAGCTTAGCACTGGCCTTCAATTGATGTTGCTGCTGCTGGGCTGTGGTAGTTACTGTTGTTGTGGTTGCAGCGGCTACAGTAGCTGGGGCTCGATATGTGGCAAGCATGACGGGGGCGGGAGTTCCTACATTTGGAGCGTGTTTTGCTGCTGCCGCCTGTTGCTGTTGCTGCTTCATTTCGGGCGTGCGTGGCGCTATGGCCACGTGTTTTTTGGCCGGGGACTTACCCGTCCCGGCGGCTGCGGATACTGCCGTGGACGTGGATGCATGTTGGGTGCTGGGGGTTTTGCGCAGATTGGGCGCCACTTGGGCAATCTTGGCCGGTTGTTTAGTGCTGCGTTCGATCTTTTTTAGAGCGGGCACAGGTAGTGGTTGTTGGCTGTTACGGGCGGGCGGTGGTGTGGGCGGCGGTGCCAGGGCGGGCGTCACCGTTGTGGCTGTGGAGGTAGCCGTCTTGCCTGTTGACTGCTGCTGTTGTTGTTGCTGCTGCTGCTGCTTTTGTTCGTTCAACTGTGACAATATGTTGAAGTATTTGTTTAGCGAGGCAGTAGTGGCCGGCGTGCTCATTGTCAACGTGCTTGGGGCAGTTGCTGAAGGAGCTGTGGAAGCAGTGGTGGTCTTTCCCTGCACCTGATGGATTTGCGCCTTCATTTGGGATTTGAAGAAGCCTGTGATTTTGGTTTGCGACTCCTCTAGAGTTGCGGCTTTCAGTCTTTTGGAGGCGGTCGCAGGCGACATGGCAGCCACAGCAGCCTGAAAAACTGTAGAATCGCCAGCATTACGGGATTTCTTAGCAGCCGCTGCTGATCCGCTGCCGTTGTCGCCAGCTGCATTGCGCTTCTTATTAATTGCGGAGGATGTGGTGGCAGGTACGGCAGTAGATGTGCTGCCAAGATTGGTGTTCCACGGCCATTGCAGTGTGGGAAGCATGGTGCTGTGGTTCCCGCCGTTATTTATGTTGTTGGAGGGTGACGTTAGTTTGGCAGTGTTCTGATTGCTGTGGTTGTTGCTACTCGTTGTGGTTGTGCCAGAGGTTGCAGCTGTAGCGCCTGTATTGCTGTTGCTGCTGCTAGAGCTGGCATTGAGTATTTGTGGCGGCATTTTGTTTGACTGTTCGTCGCTCAGTTGCGAGTGCACGCTGTACGGGGAACCTGGCTCGGATGCATCCTCACTAGAGCCTGTGCTGGAGTCGGCGCAGCTGAGCGAGGTGGCAACGCCGCTGAAGGGAGGAGAATTTGAAAACACATTAGTTTAACACATAATTATCCACACAACATTACGATTAATTTAAACTACTATAGATAGGTCCACCCGCCAATTTGTTTTTTTGACTCTATGCTCTCCAGCATCCCTACAAAGCCGAAGCGTGCTGTGCAAGGGCATGATGCCTTGCAACAACAATAACGAACAGAAACACAGGGGCCAGCCAGAGCACGCAGGTTACGTGATTTTCGAGTGCAGTTTAATTCATTGCAAGTGCAATTGCTCAACAATTAAAAACACGCCCGACATTAGGTTTGTTTGTACTTTTGTGTTTTGTCGACGGACTGACCTCTTGACTGACATTCAGAAATCGCTTTCCACATATTGTAACTATTGCGCGCATTTTATTGTAGAATTGCGCGGATGATTTCCATTTGTTTAACAATGCACGAGCATTGATTATTGGTTATTTTCCTTGTTTTTATAGCGTTTGTTTACAATTACAATAAGCATTCTATTAAAGGCTTGTCGCCAGATCTGGCAGCACTAATTTATAGCAAGCTATCGATGGTACTATCGATGATATTCATCGATGGTTTAATATTCAATGGCAGCATCGATAGTACCCACAGTGCTAGATTTTACCATCACTTGCATGCCGCCAATTTGTAAACAGACGACGACTGAAGCCATGGTCATGTATAGCTGTGGTGTGTGTACGTATAGTAGATATGTACATATGTATGTATGTAAGTGCATTTGTATATGTATGCATCTGTCTTTATTTGTCCGAAATTTCGGCAGAGAAGAGGGAAATGGAAGGATGTAGGAACAATTAAAAGTGAAATACAAATAAAATATCTTTCAATCCTATTAGTTTTGTATTAACAAAAAAAATTTATTGTTTATTATTATTTTATACCAGCTTAGTAGAAAAAGTTAGGTAATTGCTTAAATTTTGACGCTACTTGTTTTTTGGCTTATTATGTATATTTTTAGAGTAAGCTACATCGTAAATTGTTTAAGAAATGGGTTTACAATATTAATATGCATTTCCAATTATTAGGGTTATTTTTATTAATAACACATATCCAATATGCCGTTAAGGTAACAGCTGTGAACAAAACAATAAGGTAGCAAGGGTATGTACATACATACATATGTACATCGCTGGCGCGGGCTTCCGACAATCATGTACATACATAAATATTTATAAACACATAGTATGTATTTATGTACGTGCATACTTGCATACATACATATGTACTTTCTTATAATACATATACATACATAAATGCCGCTAACCGTTGATAACAAAAAATAAAGCAGACAACCATATAAGAAAAACATAAATAGGAACAACAATAATGAATCAACGTCGCTGCTGCTGCCACAAAAGTAATCCAAGAGGACACCAACAGCAACAAAAAAGCAACCAAGCAAGGAATGCTGTGCCAAAGTCCTTTTGGCAAGAAAAAACATAGAAAAGACACACACATACATACATACAAGCGATTATGCTGGAAGAGCGTGCGGGAATAAGAGCGAGAGAGAGAGAGAAAGAAGGCCGACATCGCACATGTAGCACACATACAGCGTACGGTCAAAACGGGTCGATAAACGAAAGCATAAAGTAAACAAAAAAATACAAGAACACGTACTCACACACACACACACAGTCAGACATGCAGCGGACAAGTAACATAACGAAACGAAGAGCAACGAAAAAGGAAGAAAATAAAAGCAACTCCCATGCCCTTTTGCCAGCGTTTTATGTATTTGTCTGTCTGTTTGCTTGTCCGTCTATCTGTCTGACTGGCGACGGCGTGCAACATCCAGCGAAGCCACAACAACAACAACAGTGATATATACATACATACATACATACATACATATGTATGTAGCACGGCATGGAATTCTAATGCGGGAAAATTTCAGTTTCAGGTAGTAGAAGTCGAAGTTTGCGGCACCGTCGGCAGCGACAGCGAGCGAGTTGCTTACTGGGTGTGTGGGGCAGAACGAAATGGGAAATGAACTGCGACCGCACGTCAGCGACGCGTCGCCGTCGACGGCGCAGTCCCTGTTTGATGTTTGTTTGGAATTCATGTATAATTTTTTATTCACGCATATTTACTTTATAATAGAATTAACAAAAAGCGATAGCCGTGTTTTTTTCACACACTCACGCATACGTATGTACATATACATACATGTATATATGTATGTATATATTTACACATCTATGCTGTACATGCACTTGCTTTTGTATGCAACCCGTGCTGTTATTGTTGTTGCTATTTTTGTTGCAGTCGATGATTGCACTTGATTTTAAATGATTTTTTTAATGCCACAACTTTTTATTTAGTTTGTTTATAGCCACATACATATCTATCTACTTATGTAGTACATACATACATATCTGTAATTTATTTTATGATCAAGGCGACTTTTACGACTCTGAATAATTCTTTTCATTGTGTGAGCATTATGTTTTTTGTTTATATATGTAGAATGTCACCTGCTTGACATTCCTGTTAAGCGCATCGTTAACTGCCAAGATTAATGTTAAGGTTTCGGGATTGGTAGCTAATGTTTTGTTGGGTCTGTTTCCCACGTAAGCATGAAAAATCAATTACATACCTACAAATATATTTATTCCAGAAATATATGTATGTATGTACGTTTATATAGATATATATATATATATATATATATATATATATATATACATATATAGATTTACGGAATGTGGTTTGGCTATTTATAGTAATAGGCTTTGAAACATTACAACTGTAATATTCATGACGACAACGAAAGCTCGGCAGGAAATGGTATTCTAAAGAATGTGTTATTTTTTCAATCGGTATTAAAACAATTGTCTTTTTTCAATTTAATATGGGATACACATAATTCTGTTTTTACACGGTAGATTGGTTCCAGAAACAACCGTGTAAAAAAGACATTGATCATATGCAATAATAGGTGATTGGTTCCTTATCTCTAAAGAAATATACACACATATGCTATTTTTAATTTTCAAGCCGTGTTATATCAAAATCGTTTAAAAAATTCCGTGTAAAAACAGAATTAGGTGTACTTGTATACTCTTATATTATTTAAGCATGAACTCAAAATACTGTTTTTTAGAGTACGAAGAATTCGTTCGCCAATTACAAGTAGTACAAAATAATTTGAAACTAATATTAAAACAAGTTTCACATTTTAGTAAGAAGAACTGAATTTTCAAAATCAAAAAGCTGTTCCTAGTGATATCAATTTTACATTCCTTGATATTCGAACTCACGTAAAGGGTGTATAATTGCACATTTACATAGGCATTGTGTTTATGAGAGTGTATGAATGCCTATGCGTTTCTGTGTGTGAGCATGTATGCAGTACAAAGTTGAACCAAAGCGGCAACATCAACAACAGCTGTGGGCAGCGCTTGGGCTAAGATTACAATTTCTCTGCATTAAGGCATCTTGGACTAAAATTTGGTGTCCCTAGGTCTTATAGTCTCCGAGATATAGGTTATTATTAATTATGTGTCTCTTATCAGTTGGTGTCTCTATCTCTTATATGCTGATCAAGAATATATATACTATGTGGTACTCTTGTATATTTCATGTACAGAGTATAACCCATTTGGGATTGGAACTCACATAGTGTATGACTAAAATGTTCATGGGGGATGTGTGTTTGTGTGGCTGTTGGTGAGGATGTGTGTAGTCCAGAGCTGAGCCAAAGCATGAACATGAGCATGAACAACAGCTGCCGGAGGAGCTGGGGCAGATAATGGCTATAGCTTCTTTCAAAATTGATTCTAAGGCTTGCGATTGAATTTGTATTCCATTGACAAGAAGATTAAATCTTAGAATATTAAAGTTTTCAAAGTTGATTGGATCCAATTACAACATTATCAATGGATAGAGTGTTATTTCCAGGATAAAGTGTAAACGAAGATAAAACGTTGAATGGGTGTACATAAGCCTTACCCGGAATATATGTAACTGCCAAATAGACAATTCCAAGAATTACGGGAGGTTTCTCAATCCAATCGAAAATTTGTGGACGATTGTGAAAAGACGATTGCGACTCCAAGAATCGGTTCCAGCAAACCAGCAGGATTTGTGGCAGGGAATCCAGCAAGAGTGGCAAAGGAAAATATAGAAAATTTAGTCGACAGTATGCCAAATAGAATTCAAAACAAAGGTCTTTGGCCAATGTACAAAAAAAAAAATTCTTGGATTCTGAAAAGCAAAGTTTGAAAGCTTTAAAATAAGCAAAATTGAGTACATACTGGTTGTTTTAGTTTTTAATTTTTCTACGCAAAGAATGACATGATTATGTTTTGTTTTGCACATGGATTTGTTAAGATATATTGAGAGAATAAACAGAACAAATTTGGATACATTTGCATTTTTAGGCGGGCCAACACTCAATGATTCCAAACATGTACTCATTTTTGCACGCCACTGCATATACTGTATATACTTTTTTGGGGTTGTCCATTCCTCATTCTGCCTGTTTTATTTTTCACATTTTAACAAAAGGCAATGTTTTAAAATGCATTTCTACAAATGATCAATTTTTTTAAATATGTAAATCTATATGAATTAATGAAATTTTATGTAGGATAAGTAAAACGTCCGGTTTTTGTTTAGTTTGGAGTTCAAGTTAACTTTTTGGAACATTATACATATAGCTTTCAAAATATTTTAACTTCGAAGCTCGTAAAATATCACAGTGGAGTAGAGGCGAGTTAGATTAATTACAGATACTGTTCCCCGATTTCTCTTTCATAATTTACCCAAGTTTGGTTATTGTAATTAAACTACATATTGAAACACTGTGGCTTACAAATCACGCAATCTTGCCAAAACTCTTTCAAACACTGACTTTTTATACACAATCTGCATATTGGACGATGATATTTATTAATTTGTTTGCGATCATTTTTTAACACTTTTAAATTCAGTAAGGAATGCGATTTTCACATTCTGGATAACTCGAAAA